AAGGGCTTACTGCAGTACACGTCTTCTAGCTGTCTTATCAATAATAGACTTTTAAGGGTATTCTAGGCCCTGGTCCCTCAAGCTAGCCTTCCCCTCTTGTTATATTTCTTTTTGTTGACGACATTTTGCCTCGTCGTCTGTCGTTTATTTTGTGTGTGTTTTCCTTTATTTTTTGTTCGCTTTTCCCATTTTTGTTTTGTCCTTTCTGTGTCTCTGCTGACGTCGGCTGCTGCTGAATCTGCTGCTGGCGTTTGCCGCCCACATTTGCTACTTGTAAATTATTTGCATTAGTAGCCACTTGTGCTTTGCTGTGCGCTTGTGTGTGTGTGTGTGTGTGTGTGCCTCGGGTCGAGCAAAAATTGCCCACCCCTCGCCGAGGGTAGCCTCCCCACTTTTCCCCTAAGTTTTCCTGGGCCCCAGTCCCAGTCCGATGCGAATTCATACCGTTTTGGGGATGAATCCAGTCGAAATGGAACTTGACCCACTGTGCGTGGCGCACTGTGCGTGTGTGTTTAGGCATACACACGCAAAGACACACGTTTGTGTATTTTCGCAGTGAAATTTCCATTTCTCCTTTTGTTGCTGCTTGCCATTCTCATTGTTCGTGTTGGCTTGGCCTGCACTTAAATTAACTGATTGCAACATTCTATACAGCTTTTTATGGTCCGATAAGAGGTCGCGGGGCCGCTCAGTCTTTTGCATAGTTTTTCCGAATCCCAAAAAGGGGCGGGGATGGGCTGGCCACATGGGAGTTCTCTCTTTTAAGTGGCCAGTAAATGCGGTTTCTTTAACTTGGCCAAGTACGGTGGATGCTTAAATCAAATCAACTTTTTTTAGCTTACCACAATACATATTCTTTTAAATTAAAATTTTAAAATTAAAAATTAATATGGGAAATTCATATTCATTCATATTATACAACAAATTTTAGTTTTCAAATATAGTTCAAATATTTTCAAATAAAAAAAGTAATTTTCCTATTCCATCACAAAACAGTATTGGTTTCGTTTATTTAAAACATCTAAAAACGTTATTATTGCACTGTTTTTGTTTAAATTTAAAGTAGCCGAAGTATACAAAAGAATATTCCACTGTAGAAAACATCGCTCTTTATGACCAACAATTTCTCTGTGCCTCTGAACGTGCCAAACATGCTATGCAGCATTGCGTGCTCACAACGTGGCGTATGCGCAATATTTACTTCCTCATTGCCGCATGAAGGCAAAAATGCATTAAACAAGACAACGGCAATAACAACAACAACCGACAACAGGAGAAGTGGCATAATGAGGCAGCCAGTTTGGGGAATTGTTGTTCGCCTAAAGACAGCGATTTTATTCCCAGCTTGCTAATTGCGCATACGACATGTGTGATCCCCACTTGATAAGCCGAACAATAATTAACTGAAATGGCTCTCCGGATAAGAGTTTACTTTACTCGGCGAATATTTGTGGAAGCGATTGTGCGGTGGCAAATTGATGGCATACTTTCAGGCGAAACCCGTAGATTTCTAATTGTTCTTCGCTTAGGGTTCTTCACTTTAGAAGACCCTAAGCCGACTGGGATTGTACGGAATATTCTTTTAATAGATGCAATCGATGAGTAAAAATAAACATTAAGCCATCGGGAGAAAGGAAGCTGCTACAAATGGGCAGAACAATTTACATAATCACTGAGCATTCGGCGGCAGACCCAAATATAGCGACCAAATGGGAACCGGAAATAGGAAGTCCACTCAAGCAGAATGCCCGTCTGTGTATTATAAGTCCGTGCGTCCTTCGCCTCGCAGCGATTTATCAAAGTTCATTGAAATTGTTTGCCCGCTGCTCGCCCAAACATGTCCTTGAAAGAGAGGGGGAGGGGGTGGGTCGGCGTCCTTGCCACTCTGGGCTTCAGCTGCTGATGATGACGACGTCATTCATTAAAATTTTCGCCCGTTATAAGTTTGGACATTAAGCATTAAGCAGCGGCAGCAGTAGCATTGAGCACTGAACACTGGAAGTAGCAGTAGCAGTGGCAGCATTGAGATGTCAAGCGAATTACAGGGCCCAAACAAATGCCATAAAAGCCATTCACAGTGTGCAAAACTTTTCTCTGTTTTTCTTTTCGTTTGCCAATTTGATTTATTGCCGACCCAGGGAGATGTAATCGTGAAATGGCAAATGCTTCTATGTGGGCCGTTTGGGTGTAATTTCTCCGACTGTCAAGAGTCCAACTCCCAGGGAACATTTTTGTATGTTCTTGTTCTCTAAGGACTCGTGTCACGGGTTCACCTCTCCCATGCAGACTAAAAGTCAATGCGTGGTCTTTGATTAATTCTCATATTATATGCTTTATTAAGCTTTCTCAACGAAAACAGATGGCTGCGTCGATGGAAGGGCAAAACGGCTGCCGGTTTCATTGTTATGTATATAAGAGTTATAACTCTTTTGTTAGAAGCTTCTGACTTTGACTATTTGTTATGTCGTATCTCTATTGTGGCCTGTCAAGGCCAGATCTGCAATGTTTCACCACAAAAAGTAATTTCTAATGATTATTTTAACATTTAGTATAGGGCGAGCCCCTCGCTGATACGAGCTTGCTAATACGTTCTGTCTGCCATTCGTCTGATAGATAATCAAGTACAAAGTCCACTGTTCCAGACACAAAAAAGCAGAAAAAATACAAGCCAAAACCTGAAGGTGTAGTTTGGCAATGTCAATTTTGCAATACTCTAACTAGCACAGGCCAATTAGTTTTTAAATAACAAAGAAAATAGAAATTGCAGGTGGGCAAACTATGCACAATGTATATTCTTTGCTTCAATTTTTAATCATTTCGGTTTTTAGGTATTTTTTAAATATGAAAACTTCAAAGATGTTAAAAATTTTTTAATTTATTTTTTTCCAAATTAATATTTATATCCATGCGATATGTATATCTATTTATTAAGGAGGCACAACGCGTTTACCCAAGTTTTCGTTTTGTTGGTCGTTATTGTGATAAGGACTACAATATCGGTTAAGTATATTAAGATATTTTACAATTAAAGACGTTATTGATTGCTCTTTGTTTATATGGCAGAATTGTGTCCAAGGGCACTATACTTAATTTGCCACTTATCCTGCTGGGCTAAAACAATCGCTTTTTTAAGGACCCACACTATTTCCGACCAGATCGAGTTGAGGAGGAAAACCATTTGAATATTTGCCTTTAAGTGCTGGACCTCGTAACTGCATTGGTCAGAAGTTTGCTCTTCTGGAACTGAAGACTGTTACATCAAAGGTGGTACGATCCTTTGAATAAAAAAAACCACTACCAGGACAATAAATTTGTTTTAGTACTTTTGAATTTTATTACGGATCTTAAACATTTCCATTTTTATAATGACTAGGGTTCTTTGCACCCGTTCTGAAGGACCAGGTTGACCCAAAGTTGTAAACCAAAAATAGAAGCGCGTTCAGTCTCAGATTCATTTTGGTATTAAATTAATGATTTATCCTTCTCCATGTATTTATAGCTTAGCCTTGTCGAATTTCAATTTTGCCTACGATGATAATTACAATTTGAATGGCTTAACAGAGTTGGATATTAAAAATAACTGATTTTATCTGGTAAGCGTATCCAACGAAATAATCTAAGCTCTTAGTTCTTACGACTTATGCATTTTTTATTCTTTGTACAATACATTGCCAATACCTAAAGATTACTTTACAAAATAGTTTTATTGGTTTCGCACTATTCCCCAAATTTACAAATTCCATAAATTGAAAAAAATAAATTTTAAGATAGTTAATTCAATCATTATGCGCACTTTCCATGTACCGATTTTATATAGCTTTCAATTGTTTTTGTTAAAGTTAGCTTAATTGATTGTCTTTAATATATTTTATAAAGCGGTATTTGTAGTTAAAATTTAAATTCAGAATTTTCGATAATTTCATTAGATAGAAATGAATTTAATTTGTAATTTGAATTCTTAAAGTTTCAAGCTTTCAAGCAGTTGAAATTCAAGCAATTTTTAAATTATTAGTGACCTTTTCGCTTAAATCAATAATGATACTATCTCTATAAAAGCTGATTTAAATAAATTTTGTAGTTAATTTAAGTATTTTAATTAGCCGTTTAATTGTTTTTCTTTGAGTTGCAGGCTGTCGACTTTAATACCTTTGCAAGTTAAAGTTCAAACAGTCCTCGTACTTAAATTTTAAATTCCGAATTTTCGACTATTTCGTTTCAACTTGTTTCGCTCTCTTGTCGCCATAAATATTTGATGTGACGGCAAACTTGGCGGCTATCAATGGGGTGTTGGGTTGAGGTGCCTTGGATTGGATTGGGTTTTTGGGGTAAATGAGGGGGGAGGGGGTGGGTATACCAGAGAGGGAGTTACTGGACTTGAAGTTGGGGATTTGGCATTGTTGTGCGTAGAAGTATCCGAGCTATGCGGCGTACCAAAACCGGGCATAATCAAAATACAATTGTGCGTGGAGAGCGCTTGTCTGTGCTCGTGTGTGTGTGTGTGTATTCGTTTTGGGCTGTCTGTGTGTGTGTGAGTGGTTGTAACGCATGCACAAACGTTTATTTCTTTCTTTCTTTTGGCGTTCGTTTGAGTGGGTGAGGGAGTGAGAGAGAGGGAGATGAAGATGGGGACCACCTGGAGCCACGAACAGCTGCGCGCTCTCTCCTCTCTCCTCTCTCCTCTCTCAATCTATATTCCAGCTACCGTACCCCCGAAAGTATGCTATAAACTGGAAACCCGAGAGCGGCAGCAGGAAATGTTTGTCCTGTGATGGGTTAATGCAAATATGTGCGAAAGGAAGTCATAGTAAATTAATTAATTACAATTCGAAACGATGCCCACAGATAGATAGGCCAGCAGCTGAAAATGAAACCGAAACTGAAACTGAGACCAAAAAACCGAACCCGATCCTGGCCAGCTGAATACCCATCCTCGCGACTGGAAGTCGTTGTCCTTTCGGCTCCGTTCGGCACTCTTCGGCCTTCCACGGACTTCGTGTGTGGCCTCCGGACTCGTGGCCGCCTGGCAGGGACCCCAAAACGTTTTCGGGCGCTGTGCTGACAACATCCTCGCAGGACCAACGAGCGGATGGTGCGTCCCCAAATCCTTCTGCTCTGTGTATGTGTGTGCAGAAACTTTTAACCGTGTGCTTGTGTGTGTGCTTGTGTTGGTGCGCGAGGTGTTGGAAAATTTATTGCAGTTTGAAATCAAAGGAAAAACTTAAAACCAATCAAATACTTACTTCTCCTTACCTCGCTATCGAAAGGCCACTAATCCTTAAGGGGGCCAAGTAAAAAGATTTGCCAAAGCAGTGAACAAATGCTATATAAAAAAAAACAATTTTTATATAATCAAGCAATAAAAAGCCACAAAAAAGGGGGGGCGGCGGAGCGGGCATGATGGTTACAGGCAAAGCGTTTTTCGGTCGTCTGTGTGAGTGCAGAAACATTAATGGCAGTCCCCGTTCGTGCCTGTTGTGCGTTGGTGTGTGTGAGTCTGAGCCTGAGCCTTCTCGTGCTTGAGGCCTTTTTCATAAAGAGGTCAAAACGTTGCTTTCGCCATATACGTGTGTGTGCTATGAGTGTGTGTGTGTGTGTGTGTGCGTTGTGCGAGTGTGCAGAGTTTCTTCATGCTTGCTGGTTGCCTTCTTTTTCGGCTGGTCAAGTCAAGAAGGGAATTAAACAGTCAAACTTTCGGCTGTCACGGGTTCGACCCCGTTCTTTAAGCGACCCCGCCCCTTTAAAGTTGCCCAGCAAATGATATAACAATTAGCCAGGAGCTCCCATTTGTGCCCATGCTAAATTGGGCTTGCCTTAAAACGCGACTAATAGCGTTCTGGTGGCTTTTCCGACGCATATTTTTAGGTACCAAGCTTACTTTATGCCAACATGTTGTACAAATTATATAAAAGCGATTGTACTATGATATTAGATAGCAAATCCTTAAAAAAATGCTGTTGCTCTTCAAAAATTATACAATTAGTTACAAGAGTTATAAAAAGGTATGAGAAATTAAAATAAGATGAAATTAAAATAAAAATTGTAAGCTGTATACTTTTACTCTTAGGTTACTAAAAACAACTAAAAGGAATTTAATATGAAACGTAAAAATCCTTTACAAAATGTATTTCATATCAAAATTATATATTTTTTAGTAAAGAAGCAAACTGTAGAAAAAATAGCAAATATTTGTAGGTTCCTTCAAATTGATGGGGCAATTATGTAAAGCAAAGAAAGCGCAAAAATGTTACGCAATTTTCTAAAAAAAAAAAAACAACACAAAACATTGCGGGACTAAAACATAATTAATAACAAAGCCACACGGTTGAATTCTTGGCCAAACTCTGGCCTACGGCTAAATATAACAGCAAAAAAAGGACAAAAAGACGCAGATGGGCAGCAAGGAAGGGGGCAGGATTAGCAGAAGTGAGGAAGGACTAGGACTAGAAGCAGCGGGAGCTACTCAAAGCATAACAATGAACATAACCGCACATTCAGCCAGAAGCAGTAAAAAACGGGCAGTGGGCGGGGGCGCAGTCACCTACTAAACCTAAATGAAAGTAAAAATTGTAAGCGTAAGCTAAAACAACAAACACAGCAGAAAACGAAGGAAAAAAGCAAAAAAAAAAAGCCGTGAGAAAAGCGATAAGGCCCAGCAGATAAGCGGCATTTAGAGAGGGTCGAGAAAATTGAGATTGTGAGCTCGGAAAATTGTTTGCCAGAGAGCCTGGAAAATGGCAAAGAGAAAAGTTGACCGAAGAGTATGCAATAAATTTGTTAAAGTATTGAAAAGTACGAACTAAGTTGCTCCGTAAAATGTGTGCTCTTGAAATTGTTTTGCAATGTTTTAATTTGTATAAATGTTGCAAGATGTACTTAATTGATTTAATAATTACAAAATAATTTTTCTTTTTATATGAAAAATTAACAAATTTAAAATCTGAGTATTATTTAACAAATTTCGCCACCTTTTGGTTTTGTTTTGAAGTAAAGTCTAAAGTTACTAATTCTTTATAAATAAAAATAAAATGCTATAAAAACCTTTAATCAAACAAATATTTTTTTCAATATGTGATGTATGTGTGGTATGATATAGTCACAAATCTTAAAATGTTTAAGATATATATTTGATTTAAATATTTGCTTGCAACTTTCTCTTCACAGACAGCCATCCTTTGAGCCTTAACAGAAGACTTTGAAAATGTAAACAAAAGCGACGCAGGCGCAGCAGTATTCTCTCCCGCACTCCTTGAGCATTTTGGATAGGAAAGCCGAGCTTCCAGGCTAGCATCCTCCACGGCTGTCGGTCCTCGGCCGTCGGCAGTCGGCAGTCGGTTTTCCAGCCCACATCCTGGCCAGGCTCAAAAACAGGCTCGGCCAGGCAGCGCTCACAACGCCAGCAGAGTGCGCAGCGTGATGTAGTCCAGCTTCAGCTTCAGCTGCAGACCGAGATTGAGACCGAGACCGAAGCGGAAACAGAGCTCCAGCTTTCGCAGCGGCCACTCAGGGAAACTTTTCCACACTCGAGCACGCACACAGGGACAGGTCGAGTCGGAAAAGCGGAAAAGCCTCAGACAAATGGCCAGGAATAGCAGCAGCGGCAGTAGCAGCGAGCGCAGCAGCAGCAGCAGTGGCACAGAACCGAGAAAACCGTGAAAAAAAAGTATAAAAAAGAAAAACATAAAAGAGGAGGCGTGAAAATACCACACAAGAGGCGGGCGTGTGTGAAAATCTAGGGGAAAATCACGTCCTGTGGAAATGGAAATGCTGAGACTTCGCTTAGCCACGCCAGCAATAGCAGCGGAAGTAGCAGCAACACCAGCGGAAACGGCAACCTGAATCCGCGCCCGCGCCCACTTTCTACGCTCTCTCCGTTCCGTGTTAATTGTTATTTATGTATAGTGTATATATAAAGTTGTGTGATACAAATGGATCGCAGAGATCCAGCCAGCAAGCAAGTAACTCTTACCTAAACTCAGTCTAATCAAAAGCGTACAACGACAACAAACGGTTTTGCAAGTGAAACGATAACACCAAGCCAACCAACCAACCAACCAACCAACCAAACAAACAAACAACCAACAAACCAAACAACCAACAACATTATTCCAACGGGTCCAATGTTGCAGCCAACAACATGCAGCAAACAACAACAGCAGAGGCAGCAACCAGCAATCGCAACAACAGCAGTGGGAGGAGCAGCGGTCCAGGAGCTGCTTCGGGAAGCCGCAGCTAAAGATCATGGAGCCTTAGCAGCAGCAACTGCAACAGCAACTACTGCAGCAACTGCAACAGCAGCAACAGCGAGCCGCAACACTTGGTGCCACAGCGACAACATGTTGCCCGTTGGCCGCACCAGCAGCACAACGATAGACTTCAACAGTCGCCGGCGAAGGGGGCGCCTACGAGGCCACGCCTCCTTTGACCAGGCGGAGAACAAGCAGCAGCAGCAACAGCAGCAGCAACAACAACAGCAACACCAAGCTACAATACTGGACGAGTGTGTAAATATTTTCAAGCGCTTAGTATTATTAACATTAAAAACAATATCAGCAACAACAATAACGAAAGCAAAGACAAGAAGCAGAACGGCGGCGATAACAGCAACAACACCAGCAACGCCTGCAGCAACTGCAACATCTCGTGGTGCCTCAGTGGAGCAGCTACTCCACCCAAGCAGCAGCTGTCGCAGCCGCTGCAGAAATCGCTGCCTCCGCCTGCCGGTCTACAGCATCCTGCTGCTGTGCTTAACCACCCAGGGATTGGGACTGGGCGATGCTGCCAAGCCCAAGTCGGCCAAGCAGCACTTCGGCGGCAGCAGCAACAGCAACAGCCCAAACCAAAACCAAAACCAGAACCACAACGATGTCCTGGGCGGAGTGGGTGCCCCATCGCAAACGTCCGGCGAGGACGAGGCCGAGATCATGTACCCCTTTCAGTCCGGGGAGCAGATGTTCGGCCTGGAGGAGGACCAGGAGCAGGACCAAGAGCTCAACCCCAATGCAGTTCCCGGCTCCGACGAGGATAATGCGGCCAATCAACGTGGTATCAATGGTGAGTCCCTCTGTCCTCGACTCCACCTCCATTCAAAGTCATTCCAAGTCATTCCCGCGCGTATGGGGATCATGGATTTTGCAACATCTGCGAGTGGGTGCCTGACTAATGGCATTTGTATTTAAATGAGCCATTCAATTTCGGAGGCGAGAAGTTTTGGCCTGGGCGGTGCCCTACGTCAAACTTTTCAGCAAAGACAAATTGAATTTGCCTTGCATGGGGCATCGATGAGTTGGAATCGAGTGGGAGGTTTGAGAAATGATAGCGAATAAAAGTTCAAGGCCCGGAATCAGACAAATGTTTAATATTGGCACAGGTACATTCCTGGCCTGCCCACACGTCGTATAAGTTAGCCATCCTGACATGAGATATGCATATGCGTATTTTAAGAAATTCATTAAAAGTCCTCATTTATAAGATACAAATTTCAAGACAAATTGTTGGCATTACTCATTGCTTTTTTTTTAAAAGCACACTTTGAACATTTTTAAGTTTAAGTATTTCCAAAAGACAGATACTGATACTATTTACTTGCTTATTTATATTCTTAAATACGTCGAAAGCGGTTTTAATTTGCTTTAAATTATACGTCATGTAACATTCCTCAACCGTTAAAAACGGGAAGTAAGATGTTGGCCGGATCTCTCTTGCATGGCAATTATTTTGCAGCCACACTGCGTATGAGCGATATTTATGTGCTTACATTTCGTATACGTAACGGATGAAGTGTCCGCCGCTGAGGCGAAACAACCACAGTAATTTCCCGCAAAACTCATATGCGCTGCGTATACGTAATATGGGCGAACATAAATTATCCAGGCCGCAGCATAAGCGGCTGCAAATGAACATAATGGAACAACTGTCTGCAGTTTGGCCGATGAAATATATATCTGTGTATGCGCCCCAAAGAACAGCGTGTTAATGTGTGCCCAGCACACATATGTGGAAATACATATGTTTCTTTTTTTTTCTACATTTTTATGCCACATCAGCGAAAGTCAAGCTGCCGCTCTTGCCTCCTCCCACCCTTTGCACCTTTTGCAACCTTTTTACCTTTTGCCCCTGATTCTGATTCGGCCTGTCCTTTTGACTGCGTTTCTGCTCCCGTGCTCGGCGGCGCAGTCACATTTTGGCCAACAATTAAACCCAGCATTGCACACGGAGCCCGGAGCCATTTCTCATTTTAATGACTCAACTGAGCCAAGTCCTGTCAAAAAGTGGCTGCCCCTTTTTCCGGGGAAATGGAAGGGGAAAAGGGAGACGGGAAAAGGGAAAAGTTTCGAGCGCAAACAGTGATCGACTAGAGCTCACTCCTTTGTGTATTTGCACATCCCATCTGGCAGTGAAATGGGATGATGACAACGCGACAAATCTCCGCTTGGGTATAGATGTTGATGATGTCAAGCGCCGATAAGCTACCCCGGCAAATCCCATCCAATCCCGTACTTTGTTTGCCTTTTTACCCCGAATACAAATAAACCGCCGCCGCCGAATCGTAGCTCGTGACACACAAAACTACTCGAAGGCGAAACGTGTCCTGCTGACTGCGATTGCAATTGCCATTGCAATGAATCGTACAATTGCACGGGTATTTGCACCACAAATGCTTGTTGTGTGTAAATCAGTCTTTAAAATTAACGCAGATTGCTGGAACAAGCGACAGGCCACGAGCAATTAACATGAAACCAGCGGGAAAAAGTCCACAAAAAAGCGGAGGACATACACAGCGAAAAAAAAAAAACGAAAATAATGCAGACAGGGCGCGCACATAACTCAGGTCACCCTCGTACATACGTACATATATGAACGTATACCTCTATATAAATGTGCACTGGTCTTCTCTTCAGCGACCTTTGTTCGAAATTATATATATATATATATATATATATATACATATATATATTTATATGTATGTACATATAGAAATTCCTGTGTGTGTGTATGTGTATTTGCCTTGCTTTTGGCTTTTCTATTTTACCATCGACCCAAATTGCGAGCGCGCTCTCCGTATAATAACAACAAAAATACACACACTCTTGGCTGAAATATAGTATAAGTATGTGGGCTAGTGTGTGTCTGTGTGAGGCACACGCAAACGTGGCTGTTAACGACGTTTCAGGCTCTCAACGTCGGCGTTTTTGTGGGTGCACGGTTGGTGGGTGGTTCGGGACAGACCCTGAAAAAAAAACAGAAAAATTACAACCGAAGGGAAGGAGAATATAAAGTTAAGTAAAGACCTCGACCTAAACGGCAGGCGGCCAAAAATTTGGTTTAACTTTGTGCGGGTGTGTGTATGCATGCAAACATTTTGAAAAATGATTGAGGAAAACAAAAACAGAGACAGAAACAGAAACAGAAACCAAAAGCAAAAGCAAGAACGAAAACGAAAAATGAAAATGAAAACCAAACCGAAGCGGCAGCGGAAAACGAGTTGGGAAAAGTCCGAGACGAAAAGCACCGAAATGAAGGCAACACGAACACGCACAGCGCCTTAAACACAAATTTAAATCGATAAATCAAAGTGCCAGTAACAGAAACAACACAAACAACACAAACAACACAAACAACATCAACAACATCAACAATAGCGTCCTGGCAAGGACGTGTGAGTTGCATGCTAAAAGCCACGAGAGACGATGAAATAAAAACGCCAGAGAAACGAGCTCGTGTGGGTGGCAGGAAGTTGTTTCCTTCCTACCTCCCAGCGATTTCAGTGCTGTGCTTTTGCGGTGCTTTCGGTCCGAAATGACAACATTTGGCCGCCTTTTTAATTATTGACATTCCCCCCCCCACCCATCGCCATCGCCATTGCCAGTGTCCTTCCAATCCCAGTGGCCACTAATTGCCCCTCCTGTCTGCCCAACTGTCATCCTGTGTTGTCCACGTTTTTGTGTGCCCAAGTGCCCAAGCCCGTGCCTGTGCCCTGGTGGCTGTGATTTGGCATTCATTTTTGGTCCCAGCTGCAACTGACTCAGCTCAGGTGAGCCCACAGGATTGGATATGCCACACAGCAGACCTGGGGCCTAAGTCCCGAATGATTCACTTTGCAAGTGCCGTTGGCTATCAATGAATCGCCCTTATCGGCGTGATTCATTCGAAGCGGGGATTTGTGGTCGGACTCTTAGAAAACCGGTTAGCAAATGCAATCCGTAGTCTGTCTCTCAACGATATCAAGTGTCATTCACTGTGAACTGCGTAAGCAAATCTTTCTCGAATGCTAGCGAATGGGTCGAAAACAAGCTAGATCGGGCTTTATTTGTTTCCATTATGTTAATATATCGAGTTCAAAAGCTTCCATGATCTTTATGAATGGTTTTAACACCGTGAAAACAAATTATACACAAATTGGTAAGAGATATGCATCGATTCACACAAAGACCTACCAAAAACTAATAATGAGATTATGTCTCCCACAAATCAGATAAATAAACCGATAACCTATTTATGTTTTGTGGTAATTCTGTCTCTGTGATTTATATAAGTTTTTATCAAACAGCAATTTATAATCGCTAATTTAAACGAGGTTAATTTATTGAAATTTCGCTTGTAAAGAATTACACTTTGAAGGTGCAAATGAAGTATGAAAAATAGTTTTTAATCAAGACGGATATTAATAAATCAACTGTGAAACCCCCCGTTCTTTATAAACGCTAACATTATAATTTCGGTCTAGAAAAACCTTGTCTGAATCATCAAGTTTTACGTTTCACTTTCTGGAATTTCACATATCTTTTTGTATAGCTCATATATGGGTAACTCATGCGATTCTTAAAAGATAATTAATCAGACTCTTGTTCATATATCCACTTTAAATGGCGCATAAATTCAAAGTACCTACTTTTCGTAACAAGCTAAACTTCTTCAACAGAATTTTGTAATGTTACACTGGCTGGCAAACTTTAACAACAGCTATAAATTCATAAACGCGTTAAATAGTTTAAAAAACATTTCCCATTAAATTAAAGGTTTCCCATTCCGTTTGTTTTGGGGCTATAGTTCTAGGCGAAATTGGGTCAAGCACATAGTGCCAGGAAGGGCATTATAATGCTGGCACTTTGGGCTTGGTCCACATCGGGATTGCCCTGGGGATGGAGCTGCTTTTGATTAGCTAAAATGCGGCCCACTCATGTGTGGATGTGGATGTGGATGTGTGTTTGCTTTGTGCCCGAAACTGTGCCAAGTTATGGTCGCCGTAACTTTTGAAGGTGGCAAGGACTGCCGCCGAGCAACCTTCATTGACAGCTGCTCATAGCCGTGATAAACCTTCTATGACAATCCTTAAGTGCCCCATCCCATCCACATCCCCAACCACCGCACATCGAGCACACTGCGCCAGGACGAGCGAGGCTCTTCTCTCAGTCTGCATTGATTCAACAGCCACTTGACAACCCTGCATGCACTGCGAAAAACACTAATGATATAAATCTAGTGTTAGCAAATTAAATTATTTTCTTTTAATAGATTTAAATAAAAAATATATGATTTGAAATGTTCTGTTTTTTTAAGTCGTGGTAAAATACAATATTTCAAAATCTAAAAAAGAAAAAACTCTAAATTCTTTAAAATCGATTGAAAATGTTGTGTACACCAGAGATTTAAGTGTCACCTTGAATATTAAGAAGTATTTGAGTTAGTGTTTTTTAATATCTGCACAACCATCGATTCATTTTAACAATATAAAAAATAACTTAACTTAAATCACATATAAAATGTTTTAAAATATACTAATGAAATATGAACGGAGTTAATCAAAATTAAATAAGTTTGTGGGCAACCCCAATGAAGTTAGAACAAACAAGTAAACAAAATATTCCTCTTTTGCTTATAATTTAACTGTTGATATAATCAGTTGCATTAAAATCATTTTATTACCTATTATCCAAACTTTATTTGTTTTCATAATTATTTCAAATGATGTTTCAATGAGGTTAATAACCTGCCATCTAAACACATAAACGGTCGGGTTAGATACTTTGATATATGATTCATAAAGTATTGTCATGTGGTGAAGTCCTCTTTCGAAGGCAATAAAAGCGATAAATTCATGTTGATAGTCACATAAACAGCAATGATGACTAATTTACGTGGCATTTTTTTGCAGTGTGCCTGAGCTTTTGCCGCTGACAGTGGCTTGCATGTGCATTGCACGTTTGGCTTGTTCTGATTTTGGCTGTTTGGCTGTTTGGCTGTTTGGCTGGCTAATCGATTCGCCAGCCACCTTGAAACTCTTGGCCGCTCTCTGCGAAGCGTTTTGGCCCGTGCCACAGCGCGCTGTCTCTCTGATAAACTAGCAGTTGGCGGGTCAGAGAGCGTGAAAAGAAAAGCCGCGGACACCACAGTTCCCTGATGTGTGTGTGTGTGTGTGTGTGTGCAATTGCAAGTGTGAGTGTGTAGCTGGCACTTCCGCTTTGAGCTACCATAATGAACTTCCGGCCAGGCGTGCGATTTTTCTTTGACTCTCACTTTCTTGGTTCCTGTAATTTTCGTGCGTTTGTTCAGCCCTGATTTATGCCCACTGATGACGTGGCAGAAAGAAAATCCATGGCCAAGTCCCAAAGTCATTTGGGTCCCGCTTATCGGGTCCTAATGAAGTTTAACCCCTTGGGACGGCGGCGGGCTATGGAGGGCCTCAAAGAATTTCGCTTTATCTATCAAATAATACTTTTATTGCATTATCAGGGTACAAGGGGGTGGCACATAAATATTCATGGGATGCTTATATACATAGTTGGGTTTGGGTTTGTGTTTGTCCCAGGCCAGCGTATCTATCAACCCACCCACCATTCGAGTAAGCAATTTTGGGCCATGAATTGGAATTTTTGGCAACGGAATGGAATTTCACTCTCCTGCAGCTCTTGCCACTTAATGGGTTAATCGATTAGGCCTCCCTTTGGATGGGTTTCGTTCTGGGATGGATTCGGTTGGTGGCTACTTGCTCACGCGATTCCAGGCGCTGGCGTGGCGCTCCGCCTCGAAGAAGTTGCCCAACGTTTGGGGCAGGTTCTTGCGCTTCGCCTCCGTTCCGAGGATCCGCGGGGGCGTGTAGTAATTGCTCTTGGGCGTGGCACTCTCCGTGGTCCGATGCCCACTAATGCACTCCTCCTCGGGGGCGGCAACGGGTGTGGGCGTGACCACCTGTGTGCGCCACTCAAAGACGGTGGGCAACTGGGCTCCGCCCTGCGGCAACTGCAGCCGAATGGTGGCCCTGCTGACGAAGAGCTCCTCCTGGGCAAAGTTCGGAATCACTGCGGCTGCCATCTGAATGGATCGGTTCCCACTTGCGAACTGATTGCGAATTCGGACCGAGAGTGGCGACAGCCGCAGAGCATTCTGCTGTGGCTTTGTTCTCTGGTTACGACTCCAGTTGCTCCGTAAACAACGCGTCTCAACCGCATGACGCATATCACGTATCCGCCGGCAGTGTGTGTGAGTGGGATTGAGTATCGCATTGAGGTGGGTACGTGAGGATACAGTAGAAAGATTGCTCTATTAAAACATTTTTTAAAGTAAAATTGCATTTAAATTAACCATTTCGTGGTATTTTAATTGAGGTTGATTAAAAGAAAAGATCTAATTTTGTTCTTAAATCGATTTAATGATTCCCAGTTGCTGTAATATCTATTTTCAGACCCAATTACATTCAGTTATTGCTTGAAAAAACTTAAGTCCACTTGAGGCATTTCTTGGAATTTAATTTATTTAAATATTTTATCCTTCTTATAACTTAAATTATTATTTTTATTAAATTAAGTGATTGCTTATGAAAACCTTTAATCCACTGTTTATTAAAAAAAAAACATTTTTAATTTTTTAAATTTTCAAGTGCTGCCTCAACTTATCCACTTTTGCACCTAAACTTTTATTTTGTTATCATGTATGTGAAACTGCAAATTATTTGTATTTGTTTGTTCAGCTTTTGGGTGATATCATTAAACGCTCTCTTCCAATGTCACCAAGATAATAACAAAATAATTTCTAAAGAGATTATCACCTCGCCGAAAGAAATTTTAATGCCTTCACTCACCTTAAAGAATCTTAATGCTAATTATTTTCGTGACTGGTCACGAACCATCTCTGGCATATGTGCTCTGGGGTCTTCTGAGCTCACGACGACTGCAATCGCTTAGTCAAATTGTTGTGCCATTTCAATCGCGCCACTCGGAACTGGTTTCCCCTCGCCCCGACAAAAGTATTTTATTTTATATGAAGATGGAGAGCAGGCAGCCAGCGAGGCAGACGCCCACATGTGCAAAAAGGCAATAGCAATCGCAATAAATAATAAGATACAATAAGTAATAAATAATATTTAATAGTCATTATTTTGTTACCTTCATCATGTGAACCAATAACAATTTGATGACCAACTCTGCTTCGAGGGGCTCGTGCAGGCAACACTCACTATAGATAGAATATTTCTCCTCAAAATCATGACTAGATGGCGTAATCAGTTGTTTGCAAAAAACTGTCTTGATACAATTTATTCAAGTTGCCTTGAGAGCTTAAGAACTTTTTGTAGGGATCTTCTTGTCTTAATTGAATTCCCATGAGTAACTTGAGTTTATTTATATTTATTGGTGCTACTTGCTCGTTTAATTTCAAGGCCAGTCTATTTTAAGTGCAATAATTTCAGGGCTTAAGTAACTCAATACCTCTGATTCATTTATAAAAGATAACACAAGAGCATGGTGATTTTCATAGGAGAACGGGGCGCCGTTTAAATATAAAAGTGTTTTTTTTTATTTTTGTTTACTTTTTAAATAACGCTCTGCAATAAAAAAAAAATAAAAGTATAAGACTACTGAAAATTGAACTTGCATTATCTTGAATTTAATTATTGTAATTTTTAGTAATTTATTTGTTTCTTTTAATAATAATAATGTCACTTTTGTTTTATTTTGTTTGGATATATTTGTTGTTTTAATATTAAATGTTTTTAACAACGAAAAGTTATTAGTGCAAATTAATTTAAGGGCTTACTTTTGATTCTGTCAATATACAATAGTTCAACATCAGTCAGATAAAACTTAATATATTGGAGTTCGAACTTTATCACGTACCAGAAATTCCTTTTTGCTTATCTCTTGGTTTAATTACGTATGAGGTAGCAACTTTAATGGCATTATGTGAACCCGTATCTGCACTGATAAAACGAACATAGTAAATCCAAATAATTGTACTCAATTTAATTATTAACTTGGCTTGTCTTGTTTAATATCGAATCATGCAATTCAATATGCATTTTATAATTTTAATATTTAATTTACAATTTAAGTTCAATAGTCAGATATTATTTATACTATTCCATTTTTTCATTAGTGTGCCGTTTTCGATTGCTCTCAATAGCTTTCGCAGTGCATGAAATCCATTGACCAACTCATAACTGCATGAGAAAACCCATCAGAAAGTCTGCTCATTTATATGTTTCGAGTGGCGATGATCCAGTTCGATATGCAGGGCACCTGCTTCAAAACGAGTGTTGAAAGTGGGCTGTAATGCCACCCAAGTCCGCAGTCCCCTTGAAAATGGTTGAATTCAAACTGCTTCGAGAGACATCGCCCTGTCGTCGTCACTCATTAAGCATTTGCTTATTTGCTCAGTGATTCATAAGAATCGTTCGTTTGTGGCTCACGCTCGGTGTCGGACCGCCCACCGCCCCCACGGAAGGTGGGGCGGGGTGGGTAAAGTGGGTAAAGTGGGTGTGGCGCAATGGGGTCCGTTAGCTGCATGCAAATTGGCAGGGAGTCCGTCAGTCGCAAACCGGTTATAGAGCAAATTTCTTTGCTGTCCGCCTGTCTGTTCGGTCTATGTCTATCGTCTCGAACTGACAAATAAAGTGAGTCAATCCGGACTTAATTTCAGAGGCGTAGGAAATAGGTTTCTCCTGCGACCCCCACACAATAAATATTAATATATGACTTGTGACATGAACCTATGAATTATCAATGTTTAAAATTCATTTCATTTTCCAGAAAATTTAAAAGCAGGATCAAAAATATACAAATAACTTTATAGCCTTCTCTGCTTGTGACCCTTTCCTTTCCAAAACCTTGATTTACCCCATTACACATTTTAAAGATAGGAGAACAAAACCTAAAATAAGCAAAGCTAGATTCAAGATTAAAGCACCATGATGATTTATGTGGATTTTGTGGCTGCCACACAAAGAAATCGAAGCTGACTTATTAGAACTGTGTGAACGACATGAATCAGTGGAGCTGCGATCACAAGTCACACAAGCGATTAAAGTCGCGTTAATTATTTACTTGGCGCACGCGCCGAAATGATTGCTCACAGAGCAAATGATTGTTAAACATTTACATTGCAAACATTTACCATCAACATTATCATGGCAGTCGGCGGCGAATAAGTGCAATTTGTTAATTGTTGCAAAACGCGCTGCATAATTTGCAAAATAATTGCCATGAAAATCGCGCACCAAAGGCGCCGCATGCGACAAGGGAGTTTTGCCAGCGATTTCCAAAAGGTCGAGCCACTTAATTGAGGATGTCTAATGGGGGATGGATGTAGCGAATCGCAGATAGAGATATTTACAGGTAGCAATCGGAAAGGTCAGAATGCCAGACGACAAAATGACAAATTCGTCAGTGCAAATACTATACTTTGAGGCTTTGCAATGATTAGCTAATCAATGGGGAAAATGATTTCAGTTTGGTTTTTGAGGTAACCTTTTCGTTACACAAATTGTACAAATTATTATTAAGTATGAGTCAGTCAGCCTACAATGCAAATATCTTTTGAAAAATAAAAGTAACATTCATAATATTATTTTCCTATTATGTTTAAGGCTTAATCCTTGATATTTTAATTATTTAATTATATTAAACAATAAGTTTATTAACATGAGTTTGCCCTTGGCGTTATGTTTAATATACAATATTTTCTGGTAGTCCATAGTAATAATAGTTCATAGAAAAGAGGGGTTGTCCTTGTCCTTTTTATCAAACTTTGAGCAGTAATAATTATTCAAAAAAAAACACACACACACTTAAGAACAAGGAAATATAAAAAACAAAAATTGTACTCATTTTTTTTAACAGAATATGGCAATTAAGTTAATCAAATTTTATTTCCAATGGTATTGGTAAGCCTTCTTCTATTTCATGTTCAAGCTTAAGAGTCCTGGCAGAAACTTGACCATTAGGTTCTGTTGCTAAACACTTTTTTTTTTTTAAAACAAATAATGTTAATTTAAATGCTAAAAATTGTAAAATCTAATCAATTTGTTCAACTCCTTTTTTGCAGACACGCACAACGATAACTCGACCACCACGAAAACGCCACTATTCCCGAAAGATCTATTCACGAAAGAACAGCTTGAGAACGGCGCTGTCATCCTGCACATCATTGGGGTGATATATATGTTTGTGGCGCTGGCCATTGTCTGCGATGAATTCTTCGTGCCTTCCCTTGACGTAATCATTGAAAAGCTCGGCATCACGGACGATGTGGCCGGCGCGACGTTTATGGCGGCGGGTGGCAGTGCCCCCGAGCTCTTCACCAGTGTAATTGGCGTTTTCGTGTCGTTCGACGACGTGGGCATTGGTACGATCGTTGGCTCCGCCGTGTTCAACATCCTGTTCGTGATCGGCATGTGCGCGCTCTTCTCGAAGACGGTCCTGTCGCTCACCTGGTGGCCTTTGTTCCGCGACTGCTCGTTCTACAGCATCAGTCTGCTGGTGCTGATCTACTTCTTCCGGGACAATCGCATCTTCTGGTGGGAGGCCCTCATCCTGTTCACCATCTACATCGCCTACGTGGCCTTCATGAAGTGGAACGTCCAGGTGGAGACGTGCGTCAAGAAGATGATTACCAAAAACAAGGTGACTCGCGTCAGAAGTACAGATCAACTTATGCCAGCAGTAAGTAGTTGGGAAGTTTTTTTGCAACAAATCAAATCAATTCAATTCAGATCAAATCAATCAATCAAATCAAATCAAATCAAATCAAATCAAATCAATTCAATCCAATAAATCCAACAGAATCTCTCTCTCTCTATCTCGAAAAATTCTTAATTGAAAATGAAATCAAAAAAGAGAAAAGCTAATTAAATTTTATCGAAAATTTATGAAAAAACCATTACAAAAAACGTTAATCAAGAAGATCGTAAAAGAGAAAGCGAAATTGAAAGCCAAAATTTTGTGTGCCAAATGAAAATGAAAAGAATCAAAGTTAAAACGAAAACAAAGATCCTTTGCCAGGAACGAAATTTCGTTTTTGATTTTCGTTTTGTGTATGTTTTTCCCACCAATTAACCCCATCTCCATATCCACCGCACATCCACATCCACATCCATCTCCCCATTCCCATTCCCATTTTCAATCTCGAATCTCAAATCTCAATCTCAGTGAAGCGAGCATTTGGCGCGTGCCGGACTTTAACCAGTTAGCAGGTGTTAAGTCGTTATGACTAAGGGCCATTGTGGTTGCAATCATCGAAGAAACGTCTGTGACTAAGATATCTGTGCCGATGCTGCTCTTCGGCATTGAAAGCCATCACATTAATCTGGCGACAGTCACTCGGAGTGGGTCTCGCAGTTCCACTCGAATTTCACCTGCGAATCGAAAACAGGTCCAGGAAATGCTGAAAGAGTGTGATCTCAATACCCTCGCCTTGACCCACAAAAAGTTTCATTACCGTTCGAAATCGAACTACTCACCGATATGGCATTTCTAGACCCATCTTTGGTGTTTTTTTTCCAATAAAAACCGGTTTTTGAATTCTACAAGTCATATGTAATTAAAAATACCTATTGAAAAAGTAAGACTAAACCGGTTTTGGGTGTTATTTTTGCAATTGAGCAGTTTAGATCCTCCAATACAAATCGAAATCTGAGATCACGTTTTCTAAAATAAATTTCAATTCTACCGGTTTCTGGAAAAAGAATAAGATAGAGACTGGACTATCGGATACTCATTATTTATGGCCCAATTGCGAAATATGTTGCCCACGTAAAAGTCAATAGCGTGGGTTTTCTAAAAATATTCTTATTCAATAAAATATTTCTCATCAATATAGTATATAGACCTGGCTAACTGGTTATTCCCGGCTGCGTTGCACCTCCAGTTTCTACTAACTTTTTATCATTATTCTTATTATTATACTATTCTTTCATGCTATCAAAGTAATCTTAATCCTACTCACTAGTTAAACTTCTAATTTCTTCTTTAGTACTTAGCTTCGATTCCATTTGTTAGTCAAACGTTTGATTTGCTATGCGTCTTTCGACTTGTGTAAATCCACACCCACACCCACGCCCACTGGACACGCCCACTCACTCACACACACCCGCAGACCCACACACACACACACACGGGCATACACTCCTTACACAATCCGAAGAGAACTCTGCATGCTAGTGAATCCCAGAAAGAAACTCAGCACACACTGCTTGAACTTGATCTTGCTGTTGCTGTTGATGATCTGATCTTGAGCCGGGACTCAAACCGCCCGCAGCATGCTGTGCGAGTGTGAGTGAGATGGAGCGAGTGTGGGAAGAGAACGGATCTGTACGCATGCGTAGAACACTTTTGATTTTCCTGTCGTCCACGCTTCTTGTTCTGTATAACACATTTCATGCCCACAACTTCTCATATTTTATTGTCAGGAAATCGCTCTCCACAGTTCACAAATAGATTGCAAAACTCTATATCCATCATAGTTTGGGTTGGCTATCTTACAACAAAGTGTCTTTCCTTCCGAATTTCATTTTATTACGATAAAAATTGACTTGGCCTCAATGTCTTGTTGTTTCACAGAAGATGTATTTCTTAAATAGATAGTCGGAAACACTTCTTCCCAAAGCCAAAATATTACTTTTCTTTGTTTTATAAATAGACGGTTTATTAAATAAGGTTTAAAAATGTACACGGACAGGCAAGGAAATTACTTAGCTATATGTAAATTTGGAGATTAACTAATATTGAGTTTTCAAATATATTTTTACGACATTTGAACAGCAGTTAGATTGTGTAATATTTAAATTATTGCTCGACGTTATAAATGGACTTTGGGTCGTCGGAAGCAATCGACTTTTTTTCGTGCTTAATGTGAATGCCAGGCAGATCACTATTGGATTTAACATATTGCACAGATTTTTGTGCATTTTCAGGGTCAACGAAAACATCACTTTCTTCAAACAATGCCTTCTTTTTTGTCGAAGGCTTCCCTTTCGTTTTCTTCTTTTTTGAGCTTGTCTTTTTTCTCCACTTCTTGCCGTATTTCTCCTCCAGTGCCTTGTTTTTCATATCCAGTGCATACGACATTTGTATATGCCAGAGATTGAGCGCCGTGTAGATATATATGAAAATGCGGAAAAACAGGACATAGCCCACCAGCAGGCCAACGGCAAAACAACCATATCTGTTAATCGAATCCAATACGTTTTCGCCGTCCCATTGTAAAAAATTTTTCTGGCTGATCGAATAGATGAACGGCGAAAGTAACATCCAGTATACCAAAACCGAAATTAGTTCAATCAGTCTTTTCTCAAACATTTTAATATGATGTTGCTCGTAAAAAGTTTTGAATACAAATGAAACTCGATGATATTGTTTGCTATAAATTTTAGTGCTGCTATCACAACACCGACAGCAACAAAATGTTGTGGTTTTGAGGCTTAGTTCAGACTAATCTAAGCTCGCTTTGAGTCTCTTTATGAGTATTTTGGTAATTCTCAACAAATAATTAGATATTCTTTGCTAAACACTTAGAAAAGAGAGAAATTAAACAAGTGGTAAATATTTTTGTTAATTTATTGGACATTTTTCTTAAGTTAACAAATAACAAAATGCTTTGAACAGTAGCTCATACATGATTTGGACTTTTATGTAATAAGATAGTCATTTTTATGAGGCTATTTCCAGACAGCTATTAATCTTTTCGTGTTTTATGTGGATGGGGGCCAAATCGCTTTCGCTGATACGAGAGTTGCTGATGGTCTTTACCATCGGCTGATTGGTTTGTTTACTTCTATTTTTTCCTGACTCTAAGTCATTGAGGTTCACTTGGGACAGATCCTTTTCACAGGACTTTTTCGCAAAATACGCTTCTGGATCCTTTCTGGCTTCTTTAACTTTCTTCCACTTTTTAATGTCGCCGACCTTCAGCTTCATGTAAATGAACATTATTATGCGGTAATAGATCACGTATCCAATCATCGAACAGAGAATAAAAGCGAAGTTTTCATATAGAGTTCCTAACAAGTCATCGGTGTCGATTTTTCTGACTATTGTCTTTCTTTTGCAGTATTTGTAGGTCATCGGAGTGATTATAAAGATGTACACGAGCAAAGTTATCAGCTCAACAATTCTTTTTTGAAACATTTGCGATTTTCTGCTCCAGGCACAATCAAACTGCTATGTTTCGAAACCAAACTCAGACTCAGGCTTTCGACTTTTCTCATTTCTCCATGTAACCGATGCTGTCCGATTAGTCAGATGGAGCATTATCATTCGGGCAAACTAAAAAAAAAAATTCCAAAATGATTCCCGCATCCCCCAAAGAACGAAATATATTTTATTTTTACAAAAGATGCATTTAATTTATTTCTTTTTCATAAATTCACGCATATTACGCATAGGCGTTGCGATAAGTAGTTACACTGATAACAATAGCTGCCTTATGACTAGCAATAAATATATATATTCACTAACTAAAGAATTAATTTAGCTCGCACGAACGAGTACACTGGAATGTGATAATTGACTAATTTCGTGTTTTTTCGATTATCGATCTTTGGGCAGTAGCTAATACTTGATGCGGACTTGATCCTTTTAAGTTGAGCTCAGAAGTTCGTTAATATGAGCCGACTCCTTAGCACTCACTTATCACTTATGTCTACACCTGTTGAGGTCTGGGCATCAGAACCTTGGGAGACATAATCACGCCCTTGCTGTGCTGATTCGGCAGAGTGGCGCTCTTCTGCATTTGCGGCACGGGTGGTGCACATCTCAGGCTGGGACTGGGGCTAGGGTGGACCTGTGCCTGCTGCAGCCTGGGTAGGGTGGCACTTTCCAGCGGCCGCGTCTCGTGTTTTATGTGAATGCGTGCCAGATCGCTTTCGATGAGCAGCGGATTGCTGATGGTCCTGATCATCTTCGGAGTCGCTGGCTTGCCCTTCTTCTTGCCAGAGTCCACCACATCGATGTTCTCGGTGGACACGGGCTGGTAGTAGGACTTCTTGTCCAAATGCGCCTCCGGATCCTCCTTGGCTCGCTGCAGCTCGTCCCACATCCGTATGTCGCAGACCTTTAGCTTCATGTAGATGAATATGATGATGCGGTAGAAGACGACGTATCCAATCATCAGGCAGAGGGCCAAAGTGCAGTGGTCGCCAACGGTGCCCACCAAGGTATCAAAACTCATCCGCACCACTCCATTTTCGGTGCAATACTTGTAGGTGGTCGGCGTGATGATCACCCAGTACACCAGCACCGTGATCAACTCGATAATCCTTTTCTGAAACATTGTGGCTAGGTGTGCGCTTCGCGGTTCGCGCTTCGGTCCGTTTTGGTTAAAGGTTCGTGACTAAATGACGCTCGCGCGCCTCACCGCGCTATATATAAACTGTAAGCCGTCGGATTACAGCACCGATCGCCAACTACTGGGCTCCGAAGCCAAGCTCAGACTCAGGCTCTCGGCCCGCGAACTGAGTGCATCGGTGGCTTCAAGCCGGTTATCAGTCGGATATCGCTTTATCATTCACTGTTTACAAAAGCCACTTTTGGAGCGTAAACAAGCGAGCCATACGTCACAACAAGTGGATCCCAGGAATATTTGCGAGATTTCTTGGAACTGCCAGTCTGCCACTTCCTCAGATTTGGATTTCGATTTCGATTGTATATCGACTGTTTAGACTGTAGATAGTTTTCGAATTACATTACAATGTGCAAAACAGGTTGAGTGACAAGTTGAGCGTTTATTTACCTTACGGATTTGCATCTCGTAGATCGTTTGGTAAGCCACTCAGGTCGACGGGCGAAATTTCGAGCTTCAGTGTTGAAAATTGAGTTTTTTTTTTTTAAATTACGGAGTATGATTCATGCTGAACTTAAATAATTCATTATGTGATTTAAGCGCTTTGGTGAGGTAAATTGTCCCTCGTCTTTGTCTCCGAACGGTGATGATTTTTCGATATTAAAAAATACTTTCGGCGTGATTTCATACACGACTGCAGCTAATATAGATAGTCTGCCAATAATTGTGGCTAATTAATCAGTCAGACCGATCTGACAGTCCGCACTTTGAAACAGGTTCAAGGTGAATAATCTGTAAGAGAGAGAGTTCTTTCTCCCTGTTCAGTAGTGTTTTGAAATTTTAAGATTTTCCCTTGCTGCGACATCATATTTCACAGGTGTCTTCGGTCTTTGCGTCAGTGGATGAGTGAGTTACTTCGAACCGTGAATGAGTGTGATTGGATCAGAAAACCCAGGCCATTAGCTAGAGGCTGGTTGGGCCGATCAGCAACATGACTGGGCATTAATTAGCATTATAATCAACCGCAGTGGGGTAGTTCACCTGGGCACGAGCCACTTGTTAAGTCGCCAAGAGCGAGAGGTCTGAACTTGACTTGCCCTACACCTGCTTCAATTTCGAATCCAGTTTAAGCTTCAGTTCAGCTCGACTTATGAATGGGAGTTACGAAAGACTCGCTCTCCGATCGAACTCATTTACACCACTATATAGTATAAGCAGGCCAATTATCATATCGTTTCCATTCATTCATTAGAGTACCCATTAGTCACTTCCCTCCTTCACATACAGTATACACACGTTTTAGATTTTTGTAGCTATACTGTAATAGTGCTTGCATTAGTTGCATTAGTTAATCCCCACCGATTCCGAATCCGAATCCGAATCCGACCCATCACCTGCCTGCGCTTCCTCCGCTAATATGCCAACAAGTAATTCGCATCGATTGAAAGTATTTTTCGGTTTCAGTTCTCCGACAAAGTTTTTCCAAATGTTTTTGTGTTTTATCTGTTTCTTTTTGATTATAGTGAAGGCAAAATGAAATACAACAAAACTTCCCACTGCGCTTTGACAAATATCAATACAGATATAAAAAAAAAATACAACAATATGTGTACATTTTGTTTTAACAAAGCAACTGAAAAACAAAAAAAAATAAGAAAACCAAAAAGAAAGTCATATAAAGCTTGTATGTATAAAAACCAACCAAACTGTTGCAACAGACAAACAGAAAAAATTTCCAACGACCAAAAACGAAAAGTGTTCATCTATACGTATTTTGTTTCCTCATCTTCGAACTTATCATTTTGATTTTGTAATATACGACTCATGTTTTTTCACCTCCGTAAAGACCCCAAGATTTGGCGGTCTCTTCAAGATACTTCCAAGATCGATCCTTAGCACCTACTTTCCTTCTGTAAATAATGAAAGTGTTAACAACCGCACCGATCGATATGTTTATTTTGTTGCACAAAAACCTTCAGAAACTCAATATTTTGTATCTTTCAACATCCACTTTTGACGGAATGTCAAGAAGCCAATCGAATCTTTCGATCTCTCTGAAACGTAAACCTCTGACTGTACTATATTCCATAGATCAGCTGCACAGTTTGATCGCAAGTGGTCCGTATATCGTAACGTATTTGTTGGATGTTGTCGTAATTCTTTTCTTCTTTATTTTTTCCTTTTCGACATTCCTTGAGTTTCTTATTGGTTCCGTTATCGTTTGATGTTTCCTGAGTTCTGTTCAGATATTGGCTCCCAACTAACTTGCACTTACCGATTCGATTAGTTCTTAAGTCACACAAACAACTACAACTACAACTACAATACAACAACACCAAAATCAACACCAGCCACAAGAACAAGTACAACAACAGCTACAGAAACATGCGACAAAAGAAAAACCAAAAGCTACACTCAACTGTAAATTTATACAAATTGCAATAATAAACGTTTCTTCTTCTTCTTTTCACCTTTTTCTCGAAATATGCTTACCATAACAAAAACAAAAAAAAAAAACAAAACTTAAAACTAACTAACATTACACCGCTCTCTGAAACTCTGAAAAAAATACCACAACTCGAAAAACTCAACCGAAAAACCAAAAACCAAAAACCAAAAAAAAAAACCCAATCGAAACCCGTAATCCGATCCGAAACCGAAAACGTAACCGTAACCGTAACCGTTACCGTTAACCCGATACCGTAACCGCAAACCCACGCCACCCACCGTTCTCTCCGTTCCTTCACTGCAGGGTAATGCGGCCAACTCCTCGGAAACATCGATGGCCACCCAGCCGGGCGGCTCCGTAACTTCGCGGGCGGCCAGCGAAACCCGCTCCGGTCCGCACGGATCGGGCCACGCGGGCGCCACAGGTAATAGCAGCGGCGGGGGCGGCACCTCGGGTAGTACTCAGACCGGTGCCAAGTTCCGCCACGGCCTGTTACAGCTAATGATACACACGATAGATCCACTACACGATGGTAAGTTCGTTGAGTTGCCACAGTGTGTTTTGCACAAGTCAAGCCAAAATGCCAAAAATGCAAAAAAGCAAAAAAAAAAATGCTATTAAAAGTCCCATAATGAAGTTTCCCGAACCCCGCTTACCATTAACTTCCTTACCACCAAATCCCCAAAAACCCTATCCTGCACTGAGAAATAAAATTGTGCAAATCAGGAATCTATTTCTGAAGTCTTATATAAAAAGTTGTTTATTTATAAACGACCTATATTGCAACCTTCTTTGATATTTTCATAAATAGAAAATGACTCATTTAAATTTAAAGCTAAATTAAAGTAAAGATGCAACTTATTATCGCAAAAAGTGCAAGCTGGAATACGAGGCGTATGAGTAATTAGTTCATTTATGTATGTCATAAAGCAAAGCCTTTAAATAAGTATATTCAATGTAAAATACAAAACAACTAAAGATAGCGATTCTAGGAAATATACAATCAAGTTCCTATGACATTGGAGTACATCAACCGAAGAACTAAACTCTTGATTTGATAATTTGACCTCAGTGCAAATACCCCGTCCGCCACGCTTACATCCAAAATAAGATAAATACAAATGCAATAACATCCAACTCTACTCTTTATACTATACTATATATACTACCTGTACCTGTACCTGTTATCTATATCTGTTCTATAATGTAAAATTGTTCTGTTCAGTTTCGTTTCTTTCGGTTTCTCTAAAACTCTGTGTAAACTCTGAATTTCTTCTAATTGGATGTTTGACTTACCGAGCCAGAATTTACTTTCGCTCATCCTTTCACTTTCTGCCGCTCTACCCAATTACTGTATCTGTATCTGTATCTATATCTACATCTATATCTATATCTATATCTATGTCTATGCTACGATTTCCACTGCTACTTCCATTTCTCATTTGCGTTGCGTTGCGTTGTTCCCTTTCAGTTCAGTTCGGTTCTGTTTGCTTTGTTGTTCTTTCAATTCGGTTTTAGCTTTCGTTGGCTTTGGTTCACTTTTTTAATGGCGACCTTGGAGCCACTTACCTAATTAGCACGCCAGGCCCAGACGAAGCGTCGACTAGATAAATATCCCAGAAAAGTTAGGAACGCCGAAAAAGAATTACTCAGCCAAGGCGATTGACAGCACTAACCCTTTGATTTTGGGGTGGGACAGGATGGAAAAGGTCATCACGATATTATAACAACCCTACCGCATAGATTCTGTAGTTCTGCAAGGTTTCCAATCAGAATGGCCCCACTTTCCGCCATTGATTTTGGTATGGACTCGGTGTGTCTACCCATGAATATGTAGGGAAGGTGCCACGGTGTCGTTGCCACGGCAATGGCCCACAGAGAACTAAACGAATCGAAATGAGGCAGCTCAGGGGCGTGCTCGCCAAGGTTCGCAGGTGCGAAGTGTTAGAATTCGTGTATCTCCAAGTGGGCCTACCTCAACTATTCAATTAGAGACTTGTGAAGTATTGCTGGGGCTTGAATCCATAGACTGGAATAGTTGGACTAAAAATGAACGCTAGACCGATTACATATAAATTAATAGACTCCACAGTCAGGTCGAAACTAAGAAAATAACTATTTAAAAAAAATCCCTTTTTAGCAATTTAATTTTAAGATTCCAATTAAAAAACGTAGAACATTTCCAATTACATATTCCTATCATTGTTAACTAAATGCAGGTATTTTAATTCTAATTTTAATTTAACATTTAACATTGATTAGATGATTCAGATGTGTCTAAGCTAAAGCGAATCTCAATCAGAGCTTATTAGGTTAGGTCGCAAGTGTTTATTCCTTCGCCTTAAGTTGCTAATGCTTCACAAATACGCTACTTATTCATTTATTTTCGGCTTTGTTTTTCATTTTGTTGCAAACAAAGAAAACAAAAAAAACAAAAAAATAAAACAATAAAACCAAAAGAAAAGCAGAAAAACAAATAAGAAAAAGAAACCAAAATAACGAAAATATTTTATGTTGTTCAATGTCAGTTTGGAGTTACATTTATACCAATATATCTATATATATATATATACATATGCGTTATATATCTAGCCTAGAGAACTTATCATAAATTCCTAGAGTTTGTGCGCGCAGTTCAATGGCACACGTACAAGCTAAATAGAATGCAATATAAACTGCAGAACTTAATATATGCCATAGTTCGAGTACCTATGCCATTGAACGCTGGATTGAGTTGAGTTTGACGCGTGACAAAAACAAAACAATTTATATTGTACATATATTAACTATGCGTTTTTGATGTTGTATGTGTTAAATGTAATCATTATCGTAATTGTAATTGTAATTGTAATTGAAATTGAAATTGTAATTAGTTAGCAACTAGTACAATTGGCTCGCAGCAATGCTGTTCGAAATCGGCTTCGACTTAGACTTAGGGGCTCAGACTCAGACTCAGACTCAGATTCAGACTCATACTATACTATACACCCATCTACACTCCTCACACCACACCCGAGTAGATAGAAAACTATTTAAACTATTAACGAGCTTCGACTGCATGTGCGACTAGTCGAGCTTGTTTCAGGTTGTTTTTGCATAGGTCGGATCGCTTTTTGTCACTGGAATGTTCGTCATATGTTGTTAACATATTATATATGTGTGTGTATTTCTTTCAACTCGTTATGCTCGGTGTATGGGAATTGTGTTTTTGGGCCTGCGCTGAGTGGAAATCCGGCAGAGACGGGCGGAAATCGTTTTCAGACCTCCGATGGCATTGATCTCAATCGATCTGGGTAATTGCCCTGCCACTCCGGCACAATGAGTGCCAGTCCCCAAGAGCGGCCAAGATCGCAAAACCCATCCCGAACTAGTCGTGCTTTTGCTCAGTTCTCTGTATGAGCATGTTCTTCTCTAGGTCTGTATTAAAACCAAAGAAAGCCCAATCGATATCGTTAAGAATCCCTTTCCACCCTCCCACCGCGACACACACATGTGATTTATAGAGACGTAAGCTAAGCTTAGATGTAAGTCAACCGGAATCGTGTACATATATACACACATATGTATATGTATATACCTAGAGCAACGCTAGAAGGGGTCTTCCTAATGTAGCCATCTAGTCAGATGATTCCCTGCGAAAATGTAAATTCATAAGATAACTTCACACCGCATTGACAACAGAGTACCACCGAATCGAACCAAATCGAATTGAAATGAATTGAATTATAACCCGTCAGAAAACCCCGTCCGATCCCCAAACATCATTGAAAACCAGATCGAAATCTCGAATATCTAATCAGCTCCTAGTGCAAAACACAAGTTCACACTCAATAGTTTGAATCGGAACGATTCAGAGACAAAAGTTAGACCAAAAACCCATGAGACTCTGACACGGTAAATATCTGTAGTGATCTCTAGACTAGACCTAGTTACTTATAGTCCTAGTTGTAGTCCTAGTCAGCTTACGAACCCCGCTCCCCTTCTGCTCTCCGCTCTCCGCTGTCCGGTTTCTGCTCTCCCCGCTCTCCTCCGCTCTAAACTGTCATACCCTGTACTCTGCTCTATAGACTAGATTGTACCCCCTAGCTATTCTGTTAACTTACTCAAGCAACCTCCAAATGCTGTCTCGCAACTGACATCAACATTTTGTATAAAATATTTTCAATATACATATAGACATATATTTGCGTATATGAACGATCCAATCCAATCCCGTTAATGAGTAAATTTGATTGTAAATTAAAAGCTCTAAGAAAGAAACTAAATCTGAAAATGAAACTCGTAACTGGGTTAATTCGTTTATTTCTGATTTTAATCGATGCAATTTTATTCTTTCTTTTTCTTCTTTTTTTCTTTTGATTTTTCGCAAAAAAAAAAAAAAATACCAAACCAAAAAAATATCAAATAAAAATAAACACTTGGATTTTGCGTTCAAAACTCAATTCGTTGTGTGCCAACAAAAAACCGAAAATCGAAATCGAATACCGTAAACCGAATACCGAATACCGTAACCGCACACACAACTACAAAATACTACAACGCCTTACACCAACACCACAACTACCACCACACTCGTGTTTTGTGTACCAACAAACAAACAATAAACAAAAACACTGCATTATTTATCGAAACACTCGCAAAATAAAAACCAAACCACACACAATTACAATGACAAAGATGATGTTCCAGGCAAAGTGGACGAGAAGGCGACGCAGCTCCACGCCATTGCCTCGCTGAAGGTTTTACTAGATGCCACCAAACCACAGCGCGGTGGTGCCACCACCTCGGCGGCCAACCACGTCAAGATCAACCTCAAGGAGACCACGCTCGCCGATCGTCCCAATGGGAACATCGACACCACCCTCGACTCGGTAAGTCCTTCTGACCACTTCCCTTTTGCCCCATTTGTATCCGTACAATGCTAATGATATAATGCTCATAATTTTCCTTAGGCATGACTTTTTGTTTCAAATATCCATGATTTGATTTGAATTTTCAGTTCTTGTCTTTTGTTACAAACTGATTGAATGTGTCACACAAAATGCGCTGCATTCTTCATACAAACAACAATTTGTAGGTCAGGTTAAATCGGTCATCTGAATATCGTAAATCGAAAAAATACCCTATTGCGACTAAATAATATTATTAAGCTACTTTAAACTACCGGTACCTCAGTTCTTAATTTGAAAGACTTCTTTCTAATATCGTAAATGAATATCGTAAATGCATATCTTTAATTAATACCGTTAAATTCAATAACAACAGAATTAAATATTAACATAGATTTATGAATGAGGATATTAGGATATCTTATATCGTATACCGGTCATTCGTTTAATATCGTGTATTGTATATCGTATTATTCACAATTTGATGTATCCCATATAAACCAGACAGTGTTTAGCGACCAGTTCAAGCGACCTACCAAAATATACACACTATTTTCCAATTCTAGCTGTTGGCATGTTTCTTTTACATTGCTAATCGATTGATTAATTGAGCAACTGATTGGTTAACTGATTGATGCAACGTTTGAACTGATTCTAAACTGAACCATGGTGTGTTTTTATTACCCAAATAAATATATATGTTTTGATGTATCCTTTTCCCTCATTCTTTTTAATGTGTTTCTCTGTTCGTTTCCCACTGTTTTTGCCGGTTCAGATATGTGAAATACCCAAGCGCCCAGCGAAAAGAAAAACATATTCCATAAAGATCTGTCTGTGTGTTTATGCAACGTTTATGTGTGACTTATTATGGATTTTGATTTACTTCTTTGACTTAAAACTAAACAACGATTTGTGTCTCAATTCTTTTCCATACGACTGTTCAACCCACCAACCGCCCACCCATCCCCACCACACACACATACACACACACAACTCTCTCTCTCACAAACACAAACACACACACCACACACGCCTCAACTCTCCTCCTGTGTACCTCTCAACTTTCTTTCATTTTGATTGTGTATGTTTATCTCCCTTACTTTCGGAGTATCTTCATGCCCCCATTTACCCACTTTCCATCCAACTCTATCGAACTATCTATCTATCTATAACTCTGTGTGTGTTTTGTCTTGCCCCAGATTAAGAAGAGCTAATTCGGAATAGTGAAATTTTTGCATACTCGTATACCGTATGACCCATTTGGAACTCATTTGCTTTGTGTCTTTACCTGATTTTGTTACTCGTACCTAGCGTTAAACCATCCACAAAAAACATCTAAACAAAAACCGAGGAGAATCAAAGTTATTATAGCGCTTTGCATATTATAATTTCTATTCATATTTTACTAATGCGCGATGCAGTCATTCCAATGCAAAGTAGCTGCGCCCAAAACCACCGATCAGTTCAGTTTTTACCACACCCACCCACACACAGCGTGTGTGCTCATATATCGTACATCGTACATCGCGTATCGTAATCGCTGGCAATTCGTTTACGCGAACATTCTTATGCATAGGCGCAAGCACTTGGCTTTGGCCCCCCATCAGCAATATCAGCAATACCGGCAAAAGCAGCAGCCTTAGTAGCATTGCATTCCGGATGCTCATTGCGGGCACAGCATACCCTACCTCTTGCAGAGAGTCTCGCAGTTCAGTCATCCGTTCGAAAATATCGTATTAAAGTCTGTCCGTACAGCTGGTTGTAAACGATGCAGCGGCATTTATTTCCTTGTCTTACATACACTACCCATGCTTGACAATGTTTAATGATTAATCACTTTAATCTGTTCATTTAAAAATACCTTCATCTGCAAGAGTGTTCAAACTTCGGCTTGCCGCAGTGTATCCCGCTTCCTAGTTGGTTATTAATTACATTTTTTGTTTTGATTTATGCAAAGATCACAAAGCAAACAAACAAAATTCTGAGGTGCTGACTCGCCTCAATTACTGCGACCTCATTTGAATTCGACTCACAATAAGAAACAACATGGCTGGCCTCGTAGGCCGCACTAAACCGAATTTTCCGAGTTGGGCTTCTGTCTAAAAGAAAACAAAAGAAAATCCTTTCAAAAAAAACAATAAATACAGTGTTACCCACAACCAGCAAATTGTGTTTGTGTTTCCATTCTTTCCCGATCCGTATGTGTTTGTTATATAACCCCCGACTACCCACACTTCTTCTAAACATTTCGAACAGCCTTCTTTCCAAACTGTCTTTCTGTCTACCCCCCAAAAGTCTTCTACTTTTCTAACAACCTAAGTTTTAATCAAAGTTTTATTTCCATAACTGATCTGATATCTGATTCTGAGGACTTGGCCTTGAGATCTGAAACTTTATGTTTAAAAATCACTATATATACTTATAAATATGTACTCTTCTCCCAAAATACTTGTCATATAAATTTATAACGTATCTTGAATCAAAATCAACCTAAAGCCATCGTTGAGTGGTCGACGTCCTAGCTGGATTGAGCAGAGGGTCAAAATTCAGACACGCAAATTTAGCATCAAAGTTAGTTTCATGAACAATTTTTATTGATCTCTCTTATCTATCTTTCTCTCTATATCTATCTATCTTCGCTCTTCTATATATTGCATTCAAATCTTTATAATTTCTTGCAACTAATATATTGTAAACGGCGAAAATGTTTTTTTTTTTCGTTTCTATTCAATAACAAAGAAAATATCAGACAAATGCACGCGAGTCGTACACGAAAGCTCCTTGGCAGTGGCCACGTTAGAAATTTGAATCTACTTATATATAAATTGAAAAGAAATACAAATAGTTTAATTTGAATCTACTTATATATAAATTGAAAAGAAATACAAATAGTTTAATGGATTTATTGTTTACAGTATTATATCTGAAGACTTTGATTTGTGGCTTGTACAATATTTATACAAAAATTATTATTTTTTATTTTTAATAGTAATGTGACTGATCCGTCTGTACTATATAAGCATAGCGATTGGCTGGGATCAAAATTCAACAGAATATCAGATATCGTAAATTAAATCACCCCAAGTTGTATGATGATTAACTATAGTTAGTTGCCCAGAACGACATGTTCAAAAACCGCAAGTGACTAATTCTTATGTTTCCCCTCTTGCTCGATAAAAAAAGAAACATAATAAAAATAGTTGGGGAAATTGAGTTGCTAGCCAGGAGCGTGGAGTGTAGACCGCATATAAATTCCCACTTAGTTGTTGCACTTGCAAAGCCTCTGAGAATCGCCACAAACTAACCCAAAAAAACACACATTGTTGCTTCAGTGTGACACACACATGAATATTACACTTTGAGTAGCGCTAAACCTTAGTGATATGAAATCTAGACTTAGACACTCCTTTTTAACCTGTTTTACTTTCTACTTTCGTTCACCATTGATCGACCTTGTAGACTGTGTCTGTGTGTTGTTGCACTTGCAAGACTAACTTGAGCATGCCCACTGTACCAATGCACCACTGTAGTACCACTGTACTTGCGATGCTGATAGAACTCTGCACGTTTTATGTCTAACCAGCTCTCTGAGCACCGAACTCAGTATCGTATCGTAATTGTAGTGCTGCTAGAAAGTAAGTGCACCCCTTTGAACTCGAAGTACACACACTAAGTATCTTGATCGACACCGAACCCACTCAGATCCCGCCAAGCAAGCTCTAAACGCCTGTCTGCGAGTCTCCAAACTAAACTTAAAACCAATCCAAACCAAACAACATCGTTCGTAACCAATTGCAAGCCCCGAAAGCAAAGCAAAAATTGTACTATGACAAAAGCTAACCCGTAAACCGACTCATGCTCATCTGTAAACATGGCTCAGAAAGCATTCCACCTAAGATCCCGACCTCGAAATCAATCAACCACTACCACCGCCACTACCACTACCACCTTCAATCACTGGCGAGCGTACTCCGCTCCACTCAGCCACACCCACACCCACATTTTTACTATATATTTTATACAACAAATTCCGTATTCCGTATTACATATTCAATATTATAAATATATATATATATATACCCATATACTACGGCCAATACTAACAGACTTTAGTCCAGTTCGGTCCAAGTCGCTAATCGCCAATCTCTTCCTTTGCCTTGACCAAAAGGCGCCAGAAATCGAGGATGAGCCGGAACCGCTGAGCATGGCCTGGCCGGATACGGCTCGAAAGCGGCTCACCTACGTCCTGGTGGCCCCGCTCCTGGTGCCCATGTGGCTCACACTGCCCGACACGCGGACGCCTCGCGGTAAGCGCTTCTTTCCGGTCACCTTCATCGGCTCCATCGTGTGGATAGCGGCCTTCTCCTACCTGATGGTCTGGTGGGCCAACGTGGCCGGCGACACAGCGCGCATTCCGCCCGAGGTACACTCACAAAAGCAAATAACGTGCAAATGTCAATTTTACTTAGTCCCCAGCCCGAGGCCGCTTTGAATTTGAAAAATAATCTTCTTTAATAATGAACTAACTGTTTTTGAAGAGCAAGCTTTAAACTTTAGCTTTTATCCATTAAATAGAGTACAGAGTAACGATTAGAATAATCAAAAACACTTTTTTGTGTGAGACAAATTTTACGGCATACAATAATTTTTATTTAAAAATTTAAAATTTGATAAAAAAAATTCCTATCATGTTTTACTTGAGGCCCCCTGTGTGTACACCTAAATAAAACAAGTAAATTAAATGCATTGTAGGCTTCAATGTAAATATTTAACTTTCCAAAATTTGTATCATAGGGGTTACAAAAAACATAAATTTAATTCTTTGTTGTAAATATAAATCAAGGCTTTTTACGAAAATATTTCTCTAAGGAAATAATAAATAGTGAAGGGGTGCCACAGAAATCCCTTTTTAAAAGGTGTCTAAAAGTAATAGCAATAAATCCAAAGACATTAATATTTAAAATATATTGTTGCACACTTTTACACACCTTTTTAACTAGTATTAAACACTAAGTTATTCCTGTGCCACTTTCAAATGGCTGATTTTCCAGTTTGGATGAGCTTCAACTAATTAACCCTTTTACCCTGCTCTTCCATCCCCGATAGGTCATGGGTCTGACCTTCCTGGCGGCAGGCACTTCCATTCCGGACTTGATTACCTCGGTGATTGTGGCACGCAAGGGATTCGGCGACATGGCCGTGTCCAGTTCCGTGGGCAGCAACATATTCGACGTGACCGTGGGGTGAGTATGGCCACCACCAAGTTGGCCCTTTGTCAATTGCAATGCAAACGTAACTAACCGGATTTGAACACTCCGATAGCCTGCCGATTCCGTGGCTGCTGTACGGAATCATCTACGGGGCACCCGTGGAGGTGAACTCGGTGGGCATGGTCTGCTCCATAACCATCCTGTTTATGATGCTGGTGTTCGTGGTGATGTCGATCGCCTGCTTCCGCTGGCGCATGAACAAGGGGTTGGGCTTCACCATGTTTCTGTTGTATTTTGTCTTTGTCGCCGTGTCGCTGATGTTCGAATACGATCTGATCACTTGCCCCTTTTAAGGGCAAGGGCAAAGACAAAAGGTGGCAACAGTTACCGAGTTAGCCGAGCTATCCGAGCTACCCGAGCTAACCGAGGAGCTATCAAGGATATCCAGATGCCGCCGAGGACGAGACAAGGACCCTGTCTCTCTCACACACCCAATTAGCTAAATTATATACAAGCAAATTAATTAATGATTAACAAATTAATTAACAATGGACTAAAGCTAAATAATCGAATTGTTAAACAGACACAGATGCAGACAAACACCGCCACACATTCACTCACAGATACACACCACCACTCACACACACACACACACACACACAAGAGCGAAAGCGATAGTGAAATAACGAAATCGAAAACTTAACGTTAACAAATGCGAGTTAGTTAGTGCCAGCGTTTCTTTTTCAAAAGACATTTACTTTAAAGTGTTTAGCGCAGCTTTTTAACGCAAGCAGCCCCCCCTACACCCTTCACCCTAAACTCCTACCCCTAACTCTTTAAATCTATCGTATCTATCTACGAAATACTAACAAACTAGAAAGAAGGAAACACGACAATGGCTTCCCAACCACTTAATAACTATCTACCTAACGTTTGGGTTTTAACTACAAGCATAAGAAACCAGCAAAAGTATGTATCTACAAAATATATATGATTATCTCGGCACAAGGCACCCTATCTATATACGGTACGATACGATACGATACGATACGATAAAGGAAAGCAGCATCCAACCAAGCCACGATCAGTGCTAAAGTTTTGTGTTGAGCTTCTTCGGTTCGATCGATCGATCGATCGATATCGATCGGGCAGAAGCCTTTCATTTGCGTGCTGTACTAAGATTTCTCCTAAAAGCTTTATCCAGAGCCTATCTAAACTCTATCTAGTTTACGACTTATATACATAATACTTATATACCCACTCACACGCACACTTACATGGCATACTATATATTGACCTGTATTGATTAAGTGATAATTTGCGTACTTATTGAACAAGCAAGCGAACAAATCGAAAAACTCTCAAAGTAAGCTACAATTATACTCGAATACTTCAAAACAAAATCGAATCGAAGCGAAGCGAAGCGAATGTAGGGCATACTTTAAACATTTTGCTAAAGCATTTGCCGTGCATGCAGACCAGAGCATTATGTTTATCGATTCCAGTCCGATGCTAATTCTAATTCTAGTTATGATTATGATTCTAGTTCTGATCCCGTTTCTAGTCCTAATTCCTATTCTGATTCATGTTGGCGTGTTTAGCAGGAGCAGAGTTTAAATTTAACTTTAAATTGAAGCCATATTTATTATAGACTATTTCAAATCCAAAAACAAAAACTAAGCCTACAAAAATCCAAAAAAAAAAAACTAATTTCATATACTTTTTGCTTAATGAAGTCCCCCAAGTACATATATATGAGCATATTAACGTATTTATATATAAACGACATATAAGACGATATTTAACGAAATATGAAACCAAATCAACTTGCTCTCTTTATTTAGAAAGTACGTAACATTTTTCTAAACTAAAACCCTAAACTCGTAATACCAAGTGGCCGCAAAAACCGAAGAAATGCAAATGCAAATGCAAATGGAAAAGAAACCCAAATAATTTAACATAAAACGCATACATATATACACCTAAATATAAACATACATATATATATACATATATATATTTTATATATACCAGAAGATAACTTACTATATATATATGCAACTATACTTAAGTAGGCAATGTATCTAACGGATATCCGACGTTTGCATATGGCTCGCAGTCAAGTTGAGGAAGCGACAGAACAACACACAGATACAGATACAGATTTAGATAAAAATACAAACACACTCGTACACTCAGAACAAAAAGCAATAATTTTTATTACAAGTGAATTAGAGGAGACAGCAGTGGCATCGCACTATATGCATACTCCTATACGTACGACATTGCGAATCTCACTACAAAAAAATTCGAAAATGCGAAAATCGAGACCCGAAACTGTCAGCAGTTGTAACGCATCGGAAATAATTATAAACGCATTCACATTCGCAGAATTATATACTGTATCTACTGAACAATGCGATGTGCAGACGCAAATTCAGAATTAACGTAACTAAGTGGCTGCTCTTACACCCCATGGGTGCAGTGCATTCGATTGCACACCGATATGAATATATATAAATAAATAATAACATAATACACGCATGTAGGATATGGACAGGTCAGAGGTCACAACAACAGAACATGAGTAGTGCGAGGATTGTTAGGGAACGAGTTGGAGACAATGTATAAAACTCGAAGGAGGCTCACCAGCTCCTCACAGAAGACACCACATCCCTTCATCAGCCCAAGAGTAGTCCTTGTACCAATCCAGCGGAGAGTTGGCTGAGAAGCCTCAAAATATATACTTTAAATTTTTCTTAAAGATTGTATTCGCTTACTAATATCAATCCTTGTAATCCCCAATTGACTTTCACTACTTAATTAGGCGCATCTTATTGCCTCTACAGTTATATCATAATTATTCAAGTTCCTAAGTTTCTATAAGTTTCCAGTTCCACTTGTTGTTCCTTATAAATTTGCAATGTCATTTATTGGAATACAAACTCTACTACTTTTCTATATGTTTAGGTCTCAATACTAAGAGTAAATTTAACTTTTTTCTTCCTCCATAATTTTTAGTCTCAGCCACTCCAAGCGTTTCTCATTGTAGCTCTTAACTCCAAAAATGGTCGACTTTAGTCCTTCTATATAATGATATGTACGCCCTTGTATCGTATATATCCCAACTAGCAAGCTCACTTTTCACAAGTAGATTGCCTCGGTCGCCAGGCTTTAACAGAGACAACTTCCAAGAACAAACAACAAATTAACTTAATCTTTTATACATGCTATATGTTAAACTAAAGACAACAAAGGATACCAAAAACTAAATCGAATAGAAAAAGCTAAAAAAAATATCTTCCAAATTAACTTTAAAACCAAGTCATATTTATTATATAAAAATAAAATACTTGAGAACGAATCACTCACACTTAACTACATCTTATTAGAACCTAACACAAGAAAATGGAAAAGCACACCCAGCAATTACTTGTACTGAAGATTTTCCTTACTCACACACCCACTCACATCTAAGCTATCACACACACATATCGCGCCCACTTTTCTATCTAAAAAGGTACAAAAATCATTTAGCCCCGATAGACAAACCAATAGAATTGACACATTTTTAATGAAGTAATTGTGATCGAAGCGATTGTTCCAAATAAATGCGCCCAGGGTTAATCAAAAATTATAGAAAATTCAATAAACGGAATCCCTAATCCTGAACCTTCCCATCCATCCAAAATCATTCACCCACGACGCACACACACCACAGAAAATTGTCGAGTGGCATAGAAGTCTCGCTTTAAAGCAACGTAAATAAGAGGAATTATATACAAGAAATATATATATACAGATATATATATATGAAATTGTTATGGTTATAGATTTTTAACAAGTTGAATAATTGCGTAAAAAGTAAAAGTATAACAAAAACACAAAAAAATTGTTGAAACATTAGCAAAAGCGTTCATAAAACATAAACGAAGCGTAAGAAAGGAAAAAATAATAATAACAATAACGAAACAGAACAAACCAAATCGAATCGAAAGATATAGTAATGCTATATATACTTTATGAAATATTTAACTATGAAAATAAAAATCATTGTTTGAAATTAAAGTGAAAAAAGTAAACTTACAAAAAAAAAACAAAAAAAAACCAAAAAGAAAACAAATTTTGTGTTTGCTAATTTTGTGTCCTCGACCAAATTTTGAGTTTGCAGAAAAATCAACCGTAAGTATACCCAATTGATTCGTATGTTTTAAACGTAATTGGCATGATTAGATGTTCGATGTTTTTAAATAAAATTAGCAAACACAAGCACAGACCATTCGGAAGCATTTCTAGAGATCTGGCCGTACTAATCACGCTCTCGAGTCAATCACCAATAACAATCGTTTTGATCAAGAAATACAGATACCGATACAGATACAGATATACCACATAACGAACGAGCACATAATCATTAATTTCAGCTTTAAATAATCTACGAACTAGACCTAAACCGTATATGGAACACAAGAATATTTATTAACTTTTATAAGCCAGTATATGTATGTACCAAAATAGCGTGTCTGTGCGATCCGCAGTGGATTACTTTTTTAATACTTAATACGACTACGAATACAATTAGAACACGTGAAATGCAATGTATGCAATACTTATATTCGATTATACAATATTTAGAGACCGTTTCAAGTTGCGTCCGTTGTTTAGACAGAGAAACCAAGCAAACAATAAATTGTCAGTCAGTTGCCAGCGGCTTTGATTTGATTTTGAATTTTCGTTGAATGTGAGGAAACCAAACGATTACCGATTAACGATTAACGATTGACGAAGAAGCTAATATGATAATGATAATGATATATGAATCCAGTAAAAAGTAATAGTTAACATATTGGTAGACTAATTTAAAGATTTTATAGCGTTTTCAAATTTATAAGTATATAAACCGGATGCGTTTATTATTTGTAATGCCAGCGATCAGCATATATAGCGCGTGAACATATAGCCGTCGTGTGTAATACAGTTATCATTACCCACCAAAAAAAATATTTTGCGTTGTTGAGTTTCGATCGTTGTACTTTTGAATTTTACCTTACAAGTGTGTATTTTTTTGAAACAAACACAAGCGGACCGATCGATAGGGGCATGCAATTAATGCAGACGGGTGTGTAATTTTAATAGCGAGCATTGAGAGTATTATAATAACAGACATTAATTTTAACAACTGATACGCTTCTAGCACATAAGATTGTACAAATGATTTATACGAATAATACGATAAACCATGAAAAGAGAGCGGAAAAAAGAACACAAGTCGGTTCAGATATTCAGTTGATCCAGTCTAAATATAGAGCCTTTACTTAGTCATCCTAGTACCTCCCCCAAGATCCCGAACCCCCCTGCTGATCTCACTTCATCGTTGATGCGAATGCGAACCAGAGAGCTCGAATGATGAATACAAACGGTGGAATACAGCGAGTTATTTACTTTATACAAGTACGTCTAGTTAACGACATTTAGATTTTATACAAAACACACCCAGTCATTCGATCCCCAACTTGTACCGAACCAAATTACCCGGCAATCGCATCTGTTAACAGAGGATCATCAAAACCGAGCAAGGAGTAAAAGCAAATCAAATATATAGTCAATTTCTAACGATACATGCAAACATATATGGCTGGCACTCAAGATATATATAAAACAAAAGTATATGAAGTTATATAAAGCATTTTAAGGATCGTAAGCCGTAAGCCGGAAAAACGAGCAGATAGATCGGGGTGGAAACCACACTTATGTAAATCAAAACGAAGCTATAGCGAATAAACCGAAATGTTAACTAGTTATTTAGGTGAAATATACAACAAACCACACTCAGATGCAGATGTAGATGCAGATACATATACATTTACATCGAACCGTTAACAAGGCTTTGAAAGCTCAGAAAAAAAGAGAATTACTCAAGCAGACACTCGAACACGACACAAGGACACGAATGTTAACGGCGGGTTAAAAACCGTCAAATGGAAGAGTTGTAGCAGAGCCGCAGCAAACGAAAAAGGGCCGTTTAATGAACTTTTGTTATCAACCACGAAAACAAAACGAAATGCGACTGCAGTAAGCATGTTGCGAAAACGAAAACGAAAACAAAAACGAAGTTAATGTTCAAACTAACTAATATATAACGAATATTATATAATACAACAAACTTAGACTGTATGTTATTTTCTCAATACAATATCTATAAAAAAAAAACAATAAAACAGATTCAATAAAATGAGTTATCCAATGGCAATGGGGTGAGTGTTTTTTCATTTCATGTGGTTTCATCTAAACCACTAGCTTTAAAAATATATTTGTGATAGTGTTTCGTTTCGGTCTACATTTATCAAGCCTTAAGTAATTCCATCCATTTGACTCTTTTTCTTAAATATGTAAGGTATTTACTTTGTAAGTTTAAAAAGTCAATTTCTAAACTTACAAAAGGTTTTTGCGTAATAAGAGACTACTCTTTCAGCTAGTGAGTTACGAACGGAATCTATATTTAAGTATTCACAGCTTGTTTGTTAATAAAAAGTTATTTGTTTATTTATTGAGATATTATAGCCTATCGCAGTTAGTTAAAAAACGTTTGATTGTAGCGCTTAATCAGATCAAAAAGCTGGCAATAAACAAGTTTTATTGTTCCAACTCGAAACTAAACAATGTTTATTTTCATATATCAAATAGATGGATTTTAAGAAAATTACCTTAATGAATACTATCTTAAACTATTTAATTAAAAAGCTGTTGGAAAATGCAGTTTAAATTACAGTTTGTCCGTTTTTAAATACATCGATAATGTTATCGCTCATTATCGCGCTTCTGACTCTTTTTGAGTCAGCTCCAAATTTCTAGCCAAGTTTCTCACCATTTTCTATACAAATTGAGTATTTGGGCACACTAAGCCTGTCTTTGAAAATGGAAACCGCGGTCACACTTCCTTTCCACGCGACCAACAACACAAAAAACGTGTGTTTTGGTCAACAGCGTGTTTTTCTTTAAATAAATCTGCATAAGGCGGATTTAACTTGACAAAAAGTGCATTTGCATAAGCCGAAAGAATGAGGCGACCCAAGAAGGTAGGTTCACATAGCATACTGGGTAGTTATACCTTTTTAAAGGTTTAAGGTTAAGGTTACTTGAGACTCCCTGCAAACTATATGCACATATGTATATTAATGTTTTTAAACATTTCTAGTACGAGGCCGGCGAGGCCACACAATACATTAGTCGGCGGGCTGCCCTCAGGAAGCTTCAACTCTCCCTGAACGATTTCCGGAGGCTGTGCATCCTGAAGGGCGTTTATCCCAGGGAACCGAAGCACAGACGCAGGGCCCAGAAGGGATCCTCGGAGATCAAGGTGCTGTACCACACCAAGGACATTCGCTTCCTGCTGCACGAGTCGATTGTGTGGACGCTGCGTGACTACAAGGTACGTGGAACTTAGGTTCTCTGGACTCGGGATCCATTACCCTTACCCAATATTCCCATAGATCTTTGCCAAGAAGAGCAATCGCGATCGCGCCATCAAGGATTTCCGCAACCTGAAGCGTCGCCTGGCCCTGTTTCCCGAAATCAAACTCGATCACATTGTCAAGGAGCGCTATCCAACGTTTATCGATGCCCTGAAAGACCTGGACGATTGCCTGACCCTGCTCTTTCTGTTCAGCACCTTTCCCTCGCTGCACTTGATACCCAGGGAGCAGTCGAACCTGTGCCGTCGTCTGACCATTGAGTTTCTGCACTATGTGATCGCCTCGAAGTCACTGCGCAAGGTCTTCATCTCCATCAAGGGCTACTACTTCCAGGCGGAGATCAAGGGCCAGAAGGTCACCTGGATTGTGCCGCACTACTACCCCTTCAAGCCACAGTCGCGCCAGGAGGTGGACTTCAAGGTGATGTCCATCTTCGTGGAGTTCTACACCATTATGCTGGGTTTCACCAACTTCCGGCTGTTCCATGGCCTGAATCTGGCCTATCCCCCTCAGTTCCCGAGCAGCGTGCTTCAGGACAGCGAGGAGTCGCTGAAGGACGAGGCCAGCTTCGTCTCCGACCGCATTGCGGCGCTTAACTTCGAGCTGCTGCGCACGGACAAGGTGCAGGAGGACGAGGAGGAGCTGGACATCGATATGGAGCTGCTGGAGCAGGACGGCGACTCGAAGCGCATCATCAAGATGAAGCAGGAGGCCCAGGAAGTCTCCCGCCTGCGCACCCTCTTCAAGGGCCTGAAGTTCTTCATCAACCGCGAGGTTCCGCGCGAACCCCTGGTCATAATCATCCGTTCCTTTGGCGGCAAGGTGTCGTGGGACTCGTCCGTCTTCGCCGGTTCGGCCTACGATGAAAGTGACGAGACCATCACCCACCAGATCGTGGACAGACCCAGTTTGGCCACGCAGTACATCTCGCGGGACTATGTCCAGCCGCAGTGGCTCTTTGACTGCGTAAATCAGCGCCAGCTGCTGCCCACCAACAAGTACTTCCTTGGCGAGAAGTTGCCGCCCCACTTGTCGCCATTCGTGGACTCCAAGAGGGACACCTATATTCCGCCCGAGGAGAAGGCCCTGCTGGATCCTTCCCTGATCGAAACACATGGTAAGATGGGCAGCCAGACCTCTAGCAATATCAATTTAATTCTCTCTACTATCTCAGCTCAAAGTGATGACGATTCCGAAGACGATGCCGAGAAGGAGGAAGAGGAGCCGGTGGATCAGGAGCTGCTCGATGCCCAGCTGCAGCTTGCCTACCAACTGGAAACCGCCGAGTACAAAAAGTACGGCGGTCCCGACGGCGTCAATGAAGATGAGGAAGATCCCGAGGAGGACGATGAAGAAGACGACGACGATGATGAGGAGGAAGAGGAAGAGGTCGACGAGAAGACCAAACGCCTGCAGCAGGAGAAGCAGAAGATGTCCGTGCAATCGGGCAAGGTGCACAAGGTCAACAAGCGGCAGGTGCACAAGGCCGAGGTCGACGAGCATCGCCTGCAGGCGCGCATGGTGAAGCCACGCCACCGCAACCTATTCCGGAAACTCATCCGCGAGAAGCAGACCAAGGAGAAGGAGGAGTGGCTGCTGCGCAAGAAGCGACGCACCATCGAGGCTGGCGAGAAGGAGGCCCGCAAGACGGCCAAGCGGGAGGCGCGCAAGGAGGCGGCGACCGCAGCTGCCAAGGCTTCCAAGCTGGGCAAGTAAGCTGGCAATCGGCTCGGGGGGTTCTGTGTCTTGATCTAGGTTTAAACAATAAACAATGAAAATGTATAAGAAATTGAAATGGAATCTATTTTAATTTGGACCACGACGAACGTTGAATTTTTTCAGAGCGCTTATTAGAGCTGTAAGCGTTGTTAAGGTGTTACCACCACCATCCCTTGCAACTTGAACATTTTTTGGTATTTAATTTTAAAAAGTTACAATTTAAAGTCGATTCTAACTAAATTTCCAAAGAAATGGGCTTTAAAAGAAAAAAACCCAGTTTTTTAACTTAAAACTTAATAGCATTTTTCGTGAAATAGAATCTTTGAATCTTCTAAACTGTTCAAAATGTATCCTTCAATTGTTTGATTTTTTTTTTTAAATACAATTAAACCATTAGACCATTTTTCCAAAAACATTTTTTTTTAAGTTCTTTGGTAAAAGACTAGTTTATGCTGTCATTTAACTGAATCTGTTGGTTTTTTGTTTCTGATGATTTAGTTTTCCTAAAATTTTGGTCAGCGCAAAAAAAAAAAACGAAAACGGAAATTTTTTACATAATTTCTCAGTACTTAAAAAAAGTTATTAAAGTGTATTTATGTAATATTTTAAAACAGATTTCGTCAAAATAGTCATTTAACTCTTTTTGCAAAAAGATTCAAAAACAATTTAACACCTACAACTTTAATTAAAAATGTTGCTGCAATTAAAAAACTAAAAAAAAAGGAAAAAACGTTTAGTTTAGTTTAGTTAGGGGCATTTTTTTTATTTTACACGTTTGGAAGGATTATATATTTTACAGCATAGGGAAATAAATATATAATTCTGTTTGAGTAGAGTTAAACAGAAAGTTATGATTACAGCGTTGCAAGATAATTTAAATTTCTTTAAAGTTTAACAATATTAAGTGAGTTCACCTTTAGAAGTTGCATAAAATCCCTTTTATTAACAATGAAAATTTAAAAGTAATTCAATCAAATATATGTAGGAAGTATATTTTTTAAAACTCTATTCTGCATTCTACCAAAAAGTAAACATTATATTTAAGTGTTTAAGAAAAGGTATACAGTTTTTACACAATTACTGACAAAAACCTTAAACGCGGCTGTCAACAGCAACTCAATTTCCTTGAAGGGTTAAATCAAGCAATAAATCATTTGCTATCAATAATTGTGGCCATTTCATTGAACACAAAGTGTAGAACAACTTTTTTTTTGAGTGGCTTTCTGACTACGAAGTTTTAGGCCAAGCCACGGTTAAACTTAAGTAATTATTTGTGTGTATATCGTATCGAATTAGCACTATGTATATTGTATATGCCCTGACGCAGTCCAAGTCTGTCGTGGTTCCTATTAGTCTACTTGTATATCGATCGCTAGTTGAGTTCCTAAGTCAATTACTTCCGTTAACAAATGCCAAGATTCCATTCCATCGAGCTTCTATAGTGATTACATCCTAATTATCATCCTAGTCGCTATCGCCATCTGCTCCGCCCGCCGCTCCATCTTCGTCATCATCATCATCGCTGTCCTCCAGTTCGGGCATCGGGAATCGCAGTAGTGCCGCTACGCCAGTCAGTTGAGCAAGTTCTGTAGACAAGAGATTGGGATTATTCAGTCGAGTTTCTCATAAATATATATTGTAATAATTTCCAAAGGAGAACCGAGCTGATTTCTGTTATCTAAACATTGTAAAACCAGAATAACAAGTAAACTACAAAGACTAAAAAGCCATCAATACTTGATGCAAGACAACTCTCAATCTCAGAACTGCAGCAGCCCATTGTGCATTTTGCATTTTGCATTTAGCATTTGTTGCCGTGTTGTGGGCGTTCCTGCTGTCCAATTCCAAGGCTCACCGGTTGGTTCTAGGCCATGACTCACTGAGTGAACTTCACATTCATCTCGGCCAGAGTGTGCATTAAAAATTCATGGGTTTGCCCAATTAACTCGGGATTAATGCAGGTTCTGTTGCAAGAAAAAACAATTTTGTTTACCCAAGTACCATGTTGCCAGGCCCATTTATCTCTTAAATTTGGTTTTGTTTACACAAGCCGCTGCAATGTTTATATACTTATGTAATTTAAAACTGATTAAAATGCTCAGCGGACTACAATTGCTAACTAAATACTTGCCAGCCGATAAGAATGGGAAGAACTTCAGAAAGAAAGATAGGGATATCTGTTGCAATAGCTACAAAGTATGGGGGGATGGGTTCTATTTCGGAACCCCAACGACCCATTTTCGAGTGGAAAACGAAAATCTTGCCAAGTCTCGAGACTGAAGCAACTTAAAAAAAAGAAAGGAGCACATCTCGTGAGTCACCTGCAAATGGCTATTTAAAGCATTTAAGCACTTTACACCCCAAAAAATATGTGCAATACGAGAAATGCAACATTAATTAATTCATATTTGCATACGAAAATGAAATCGAAAGTTTCGCCACGAATGAGATAGCAAAAACTACTTGGCAGCCTTTCAATTCGAATTGATGATGTTTTCTGCTCATTTCGCAATGGACTTTGTAATGTGGGATGTGGGAGACTCCTCCAAGAAAATCACAAATATGCCAGCACATACATATGTATATACAGTATTTGTTTACGGGCAGAGCACTGCATCTCGGGGGACTTAAAAATAGAATCTTTAACGAGGTCATTAGACAGAGGAAGGCAGGCTGCACATGAGTATTCAAATTGAGCATAGAAATGGACAAAGGTGGAACAAGTGTGATGTAAAGCCGTTCCTCCTGGAGATGATCTATTCTTGTCCCAGAAGGGAATTTGTTTCTCACTTCATGAGTCATTGCAAGTTTCCCTTCTATATGCGAGATGAAGAAGTTCTCGAGTTCTTCTAAGAAGACAGAAGATAAAAGAATGCTAGGATTTCCAATCTCTACATGTGTAACTTTTAGAATTAAAATGACCCATGTGTGTGTGAGTTTAATCAATTGAATAAAGATGTCTTTCTCATTATTCTATTCTGGAAAGCTCAATCATGTATGTAAATCTTAAATATTTGCATTACAACAAATCACTATAAATAAATGTTCAGTAGTTGCTCCCTCGACTCATAAGTTATTTATTGATTATTTGATACTCACGTTCTCCTGAAATGTGCATGCTGGAAAATATTTTCACTTCGCCTCCAGCATCCCGAACTGATTCCACCAGATTTACATATTCCTTCCTCAGATTAACATCTTGGCAGCTGTAAAGGTGACAAATGTTTGGATTAGAAGTGAAAATTGAACCGTTTAAAGGCAAAGAAACTTTTGGAATTGATCAGCAACACAAATATGATTCGATTCTATCAATTAATATGCCCATTTGTCAGCCATACACGGATGTAGGTGCTCGTATCTACTGCACTTTCGCATTCCACGACCGGACCCGTATAAATGGCGCATAGCAAAGTGCTGGATGATGGCACGTGATGGGCATAATCCGCCTTGAATAAGGTGTCAAGTTTAACTGGAAATAGTGGGTTCACCTCGTCGCCCACCCCAAAGCCATCACACATTATACACATTAGACCCCCGACGCGATTTGCATTTCATATCCACAAAGAGCACATGAAGTCACTTGTCGCTAGAGCAATGAAAGTGCGACCCCGCATAAAAAGTTAGGGCAGTTCAAAAACCCCTGCGAAAATGCTAATGTCGAATGACGAACATTTGCAGGTAAGAAAGTAAGAAGAAATTCAAATAAAAACCAGGCAAAAAGTATAATTTCAATTAACATTTTTATTGACGACAACAAACCGCTTTTTGTTTGCGTAGAGAGAGAGTGCAAGCGCCGATTCCATAGAGCGATCGGAGTAAGCCCCATGTGGAGGGTATTCCGAATGCGATCCACAGCACGTGCAGAGCAAAAGAGAGCAACTGAAGAAAGAGAGCGGCTGTCTTCGCAGCGAAGAATTAGTTGCAAAGCGGCTTTCTTGCGGGGAACATCGAGCGTTTCGAGGGACGGAAACCCAAACGAACCGGAGAAGATTGCCACGCGAAAAGAAAAATTGGTGCTAAGACCCCGCTACAAAAGAAAAAAAAAAAGAAGAAGGAAAACAGGCCCATCAAAACCGCAAAACTGCAGCAACATCGGAAAGAGAAAAGTGCACAAGAAGTACGCACAAAAAAAGATACAAAGGTACAAGTGAAAGTTGAAAAGTGATTTTTGCCTCTAACAAAAATGCTGTCCCAAAACGATTTCAAAGTCCCGCTGACAGTTTAGTTAAATGTTTTATTCCCGCTGACTCAGACGAAAGCAATGCAGATACACCAGCAACAGATACAATTTTATCTGCTACCTGTGTGTAGATACTTTTTCACTCATCCGCAAACCGCAAACTGCGTTGAACCATTGTGAGCCATTGTTGTAGATGCTGCTGCTGCTGCTGCTGCTGCTGCTGTTGCTGATGTACCTGCAATTTTGGCCGCTACTTGTATTGCTGAGTAGCTGCAATTGTTGCTGCTGCTGCGTGACAATGATTGCACAATGAAATCAATTGTTATAATGGAATTAGCGTGCACGAGGCCGAACACAGCCGTGAATTGTCAGCCAGCAAGAGAGAGAGAGAGCGGGCGAAAGTAAGAAAGAAAGATTGTGGCGGGGAAAGTGGGGCTATGAGTGCCCCAAGATATCAGTAAGTGCGCGTAAAAAGTGTAATTAAATGTGCGAGGAGGGGCGGCTGCAACTGAACTTGGCACTCCGATGTGCTTTGAATACATTGGAAAATACCCAAAATCTCATTTGAATTTGAAAAACCATTCAAGAAATAAGTGTTCAATTAATAAAATAATAATACCACTCTTAGCAAGCAAGGTTTCATTCCATTAATAAGCCGCCTTGACTTTTGAGATCACTAAAGACCAACCTTAAAGGCAACGCCTTGATTTTAAAATACTTAATACTTATTGGTCCGATCATTTAGAAAAGCAGCCAACTCATTGCTTACCCCATCAGTTGACCAAACAAAACCCAACCCGCATACAAAACGAGGTTGAAAACCCCCAAAAGCAAAGATTCAATAAAGGTGATTCACAGATACCGTGTTCATTGAGCATTCCGCCCATTTAGGGTTTCAATATCGTTTATTTCAACAAGCCCGCCCTTTCACTTCTTGCTTAACAAAAGCAACCTTAAACTTTTCTCTCTGTCTCTTTCTCTTCCATTTGCTTTCATAACACAAATATGTATATATATATATATAATATAAACAATTGTCTTTCGAGACAATATTTACAAGCGTGGCCAGCTGTGACAAAAAAAAAATCAACAATAACCGCTTAAAGGGGGCACGTTTTTGAGGCACAATACATGTTGCAAAACAAAAAAAAAATAAAAGGGGGACTAGAAAAACTGGTTGGACCCATGAATAACATATGAAAAACAAAATCTATAGTTTGGGAGAAGAGAATCGGTTGAAGGGGAAAAACGCTAAGTGCATTCAAGTAGCAAAAGAACTTGATAAGTTAGCCAAAGTGGAACATGTAGCATGGCCTGTGGAATCTATTGATGGTTGAGGGGGAGGTTCCAGAATAAAACTGAGAAACGAGAGTATCTGTTTGAAAAGTTGCCCGCCAAGTGATCCATAAACGGAGCGATTAAATAAATTAAAATTCTTTATTTGTTGTTTATTGTTGTGGCTGCTGTCTGTCTTTTTCTCAATATATCGCCCACAGGTTCTAACAATTAGCACAAGAAATTGCTGAGGGAATTTAATTTCACATGGCTATAAATCGTATACAGTACACGGCTTATTTACATCAAAATTAAGTTCAGTATTCGTCATTTGCCAATCGAAACTCGTCTGGCGAAAACAGCTCTAAAAAGTGCCAAACCAGAGCACGCAAATGTAGCTCGGAAATCGACCATGAATATAAATGTATGGAAACGGATACGGATTAAATGGGTGAGGGACGAATTAAAGTCGGAGGAGCTGATAAGGGGAAAGGGAGAAAGTTTATCTAAAACGTCTTTGTTTACTTATAAATAACCCTTATCTAAAACATTCATGAAAATAGTTATACGTACTCATGTTTCCTAATAATGTTTTTGGCTGATAAGAACTTTTTCATAGTGTGCAAAATTCCAGCCAAAATAGTCACACATTTTTAAATAATATGACTTCATTATTTATATAAGTGACTTGAATGTGTTTGATAGTATGTATAAATATACGTGACTTTACTGAAAGTACTTAATAGTTTCTTATACTGGTAAAACAGTTTTCTAGGCAACATAATGAGCTGGTTATAAAGAAGTCAAAACAACTCGTAGGATTGTCTGCCCAAATTTCAACTCCACTTGACTGTACTTAACGCACATATCTTTCCACTCCAGTTCCTATTTAAGTGCCGGCCACTTAACACCGTCGAATTAAATCGAATTGAATCGAATCGAATCCAGCGGATCCGAGATGCTCACCAGACAGCCCGACTACACCATCTCCGAACTGGGCCATCCCATCCACCAGTGGCCGGACTCGACCCTGTGCGAATCCCTCAAGAAACTGGACAACAGAAAGGTGCCCAGCTCCCCGCCTTCGCCTCATCGCCTTCTGCCACTGAGGGAAACCCTGGACGATTATTTCAAGCGATTGACGCTGAGAAGCAGAGAAGATTTCGAAGAGGATCCCATTTACCAGCAGAAACAGCGGAAGAATCAGAGGAACGAACAGCAACGAAAGCGGTAAATCAAATAGAGAACTTTAACAAACAGTTTAATAACAATTTCCCATCTTGTTTCTCTTTGTACGATGGCAAAACCATCAATAGCAATCAAAAAAGTCGAGATAAAGACGAGTCCAGAGCAGCAACAGCGACGACGACAACGATAGCGACGACCAACGATCTAAACAATTTTTGAGATTGGAACGAGGGGGAAGCATACGAATGCGTATGGGGGTAGCAACCTAAGCGGACTGATTACATGTGCTAAAATAAAATCACCTTTTGCCTAGAACATTAAGTACATTAAATGTGAAGTAAAGAAAAAACCTATAACACTTAATTCTAATTTAATTGCCAGCCAGGCAGTTAGCATACGAAAAGATTTTCAAATGGAATTTCAACGGCCCATAAAAATGTAAACAAAACGCATAGAAGAATAGTGAATAGAACTGAAATGAACAGAACAGAATAAGCTGGCAGCCAAAAATGGTGGGGAGACATTGGGGTAACCTTGATCATGAGCACGTCGTCATGGGGCCAACAAATTAATGGTTGAACGTGCTTTCTTTAAATGGCTAAACGCGTACGATCGGAGCAGATCTGAATTCGCAGCGGAAGAATTCGCAATCATTCAATGTTAATGGAATCCAAAGTTGATCATGGAGCGGATGGCGAAAGGGAAACGATTAATCTTATCATAGAATATAATAAAACTTATTTTCTCTCAGCTGTTGCGACACAAAATAAATTTAGTTTGATAAAAAGAAACTTTTAGCTAATTTCGTTTGCTAAGTAATTATTTTTTTAAAAAAATTGTCTTCTATGATATAAATTAGTTCATCTACATAATGTTTCAAATGCAAACATATCCAGGGTAATACAATATCAAATGTTTAACATTTTATAAAATTAAAACAAAAGGATCAATACAATTTATATATATATTTTTTTTGATTTTCCATCAAAAAATTTGTTTTAAAATTTTAACTAATACATATATCAGATCAGGTTAGACTATATGTTTTGTCAAAAAGAAAATGCATAAGATAAACCAAAATCATTAAAAGATTATTTTATAAGGCAACTTGTATTACTTTTTAATTTGATAAAGAGATAAATCTATCAGACCTTTCACTTTTCTAGTTCCTTCAGTGAAATTTTAATTATATAAAATCTTAACTTTGAAAATAAGAAAAGCAACTCCAGCTCCTTTCTTTCTAATTTAAAACTAATTGAAAACCACACTCGCAAGTATAGCAAACCAATTAAAAAACAATCGATGAGATAATGAAATTGATTGCTCTTTTTCTCAGATTTTCTTAAGTGCCTCAATATTTGTATTCATCCCGGCACCCAAAGCAGAGCAAACCGGTGACATGTGTTCCATATGGCGACATAAGCACACCAATTGTCATCGCACTCTCTTTCCGCTTTCGAAAGTTTAAGGTTTTTGCTTATACTTGCGATCGTGCTCTTGATCTCTCCGCTTGATTGAGCTTAATGTGTGCTCAGCTGGGGGCTAGCTAAGCATATGTACATATATATGTATCTCGGCCCAGCCAAGTGGAACTCACCGAAAGAGGTTGTCCGAGATGAGTAGCGTTTCGATGGCCTGGGATTCGGCGGCTTGGAGGACGTGCTTCTTGCCGTAGAAAGCCTTGGCCGGTTCACATTGCAGCATCATGTAGAATTGCTCCAGGACCTTGACCTCGCCAGCGGCCTTGGTGTCGGACATTTTGGCCAGCACGGCAGGATCTTGAAGAACCTCTGGGGATACAAATACGATACGATTATACCAGATCCTGATTAGGGTTACAGAATGAAGAGCCTACCCTTTAGGGAGTGCTTAAATCCCGACGAGGCGTGCACCAGCATGAACTTGCTCTTGTTGTCCAGCAGAATCTTGTAGTCCATCTTGACCGCTTGCTGGAACATGTAGTCGTAGAACTGATCCCGCACAAAGCCCGGCGAGGCAATCAGCACGCACTTGACCACATCGAAGTTAACGTGCCGCAGGATGCTCTGCATGACCTGCTCGTAGAACTTGGCCAGTCCCTTCTCGTGCTGCTGCACGCTGCCCTTTCGCTTGCGCGGAATGGAGACCTCAATCTTGCTCCGCACCAGAGTCATGCTGGCAGTGATCAGGCAAACGTGGGCCAGTCCCTCCTGCATCACCACGGCGGCCACGTCCGCCGACTGTGTGGGATCGCAGGCCATCTCGATGCGCTCCAGGGCGATGGTGTCCCACTCCGGTTTGCGCAGCTCGAACTTGCGGTTCAGCTCCAAGTCGAGGGTGTGATAGGCACCCATTTTGACGTACTGGTTCTCCTCGATGTTCCGCCCCTTTAGTCGGAGCACACAGGCCTGGGTGTCGAAGTCAATGCTCTCCACGGCGATGGTCAGAGTGGTGCGCACTCGACTGCTGGTGGAGGAGCCGGTGGCCGTTTCGTTTTGCACCTTGCGAATGGTGGTGCTGCGCACGCTGTCGCCCTCGGCTATCAAATTGAAGGCGTGCCACATGTCCTCCGACTCCTCGGGCATCAGGGTCACATTTCTAGGCGATTTAAAAGGAGGGCTGAGTTCAGAGAAGGTCAAGTCCCATGAGGATTCACTCACCCCTGCATGCCCTTGTCCACGTATTTGCCCAGCAGCTTCATCTCGTCGCTGTGCTGGTCAGGATTTGGTTTTTATATCGTTGGCTGGCACTGCCTCTATTCCGAGTGCTTTGAATCCGCTCGCCGCTTGTCACTTGCACCCAGATTTCAGAGATTCCCTCGGTCCACAAAGGCGGCGGTGCATCGTTGTCATTGGGTTCACGCAGTCGCTGAGTTCACACGGCTGATCGGATCGGCAGGATGGTTACTCTGATGGTGCGGTGGGCAGTGCAATCGGCGGACAGTGACATTCACACGGGAAATCCACGGGGCGAGCAGTGCTGCGAGACTAGCGGGTTTCACGCCAGACTTGACTCGAATGGTTCTCGTACTAAAATCTTTTTATTTTGTCAATTTAAATTTAATAAATACGGATAAAACTTTTCGGAAAACAGAAATTAGAAGCTGACAAAGAAAAAAGAAATTCTGATTGCTCAATATTTTTATTTATTTAAGTTCCAAGTTAATCAAAGGTAATTTAAGAAAATTACCTCTTTTAATACCTGTCTTTCTTTCAAATAACCAAAGTTTTTAATAAGAATTAACGTTTTCAAAGTTAAGATAATGAACTAAATATATTTTTAAAAATAGAAAGAACAAAATAATTGTTAAATATTTTAAAATTTAAACATACACATATATTGCAAAGAATTTAAAAATTGCAAAAAGGCTGTTGTAAAGAAAAAAGGCTTAATCTTGGATATTAGATTTGATTTTTTACATGTTCCTGATTATGTTTTTGTACTGTAAGGATGGTTTTAGTATATTTCACATATTAAACTTAGCTATTTTCCCTGCTAGCCTGCCAGCGCTGTCGGCTGACCAGCTGACACTATGGCCAGTATTTTCTAGTATTTTCAAGTAATAAAACCGGTGGCGGGCGAACGGTCACTTCAATCCAACCATGTGCGAGGGTAGCAAAAAAAAAATGCTTGATTTGTATTAAAAAATACACATGTTTATTGAAGTTACCACTTTGTACACATTTTCACTTAAGTCTACGATAAAACTAGACTAGTAGTCGCTCGATCTCCTGCTGGATGGAGGTGATCTGCGACTTGAGCTGACTGCCCTCATTGGTGGTCACCGAGCAGGCGACAATTGGCCGAGAAACGCCGCAGGCGCGACCCAGAGCCTGCTTGGAACGCACAAAGACATAGGGCACGTTCTTATCCTCGCACAGGAGTGGAAGGTGGAGCAGGATCTCGATGGGCTCGGTGTCGCCAGCCAGGACCACGATGTCGGCCAATCCACGGTTCAGAGTTTTGGTGGCCTCGTTGGCTCCCTTCCTCAATTGATTGTAGTTCAAGGCCTGCTGCAGCAGGTTCATGATCTTAGCCGTGAGCTGGGCATCGGCCAGCGGGAATGCCTTGGGATTCACTTCCTCAGTCTGCGAAAATCAGTTACTTATTGTAGCCCACACTTTTAATGGCTTGTCCTTAGATTACTTACCATTTTTCGGTTTATTTATTAGTGTTTTACAAGATTATTGCGTTTTAAAATGCAACCTCTCGGCTTGTTGCTTCACTGAGGGCAATCGCTGGAACAATTGATACAGTTTTCAAAACACGTGCGTTGTCGTTATAAAACCGTTTGTGGATATGAAATGAATACCAAAATACTGTTGGTCATACTGCTTTTAACGATACTTATCGTATAGCTGGACTTGTAGCCCTGGTTTAAAGGTACTTCATTTTGAGGGGAACTCCAAAAACTAATTTTATTTTTCTTTTATCAATTAAGAAAACTTGTATTAAAATGAAATGCAAGATGTAAAGAAAATAAAAAATCGTGTTAGCTAGACTTTGAGAAAATTTTTTCATGCAAACTTATAAAAAAAAAACATTTTTAGATTTGCATCACATTTTTGAATTAAGGAAATGTGTGCGAGCATAGGGTTTATACAACGATATAAAGCACCAGATTTAAATTCATGACCCAAAACGTTTTTGTAAATAAACATACATAAGCTTTTGAGAATATTGTCTCTGGAGGTCCAAACTGTATTTAATATGATGATGTTAAGGTCGTGTGTTTATTATGCAGAAAAAAATTCGTTGCCTAATTTAAATAAAATGCATTAACCATATAGCAACAGTGCACGCTAAACAAAATTGACAAACATTTTATAGTCTTTTGTTACAGCAAATAATTTTGTATATTATAAAAATATATTTTAAAATAACAAATGATAGATTTGTCAAATCGTAGTCTGCACACCTAAACAGTAAATTTCAACATTTATTTATAATTTTATTTATTTATTTGGAAACTCCTATAGAAAGCAGGATAAGGCGTAATGTTTCAGCTTTTATTTAACATTTAATAAAAAAAAAAATATTTGCTGTTGTGGGATTTCTCTTATCGTCTTTCCTTTTGGTTTGGCTGCCGATTTTCAAATGCTTTGACTGGATAGCAATAATTTTCCGTTTGGTCGTTAATTTTATTCAGTCATAAAAATTACTAAATATTAGTTTAACATTAGTTGAGCATAGAGTTTATATAGGATTGTTTGGATTAGAGAATAAATCCAATCTGATTTAATCAGTGTGTTGTTAGTCCGAATACAGTAATAAGAACAACGGCAACCAATTATTCTGATTCTAGGACCTAGAAATAAGTTGGACACATTTTTAAGCATTGAAGAATCTATAATTTTTTAGCTATTTCTGAGCACCCGGGGTCTACAATGGAACAGCACCCACGCAGTAGCGATTTCTCACAACTGCGGAATTGTGCTCGCGGTGAGCGAAGTGCCTATCGCTGGCCTGCTCACACCTGCGTGCGGGGGCGCATTCGCGAGTCGCGCCAGTCGATAAAAAAACTTCGACCGTGTTGGACGGGAAAACTCGGTTCGGCGGCTATGCGGGTATTTTTAATCTAAGCCATCAAAATCCACAGCTACAGTGCATTAAATCGATCGGAAAGTCGAGGCAATATTTCTGAAAGTGTATACAAATCGCTGGCATCGTAGTCGTTAATTGCAAAAAGGTAATTTGCGCAGAGAAAAACTCGGATAGCAAAGTCAAACAAACTCAAAAAAGGAAATGAACGTAAAAAAAATCGATTATCCAATCTGTGTGCGGGTGTGTGTGTGTGTGTGCAAGCTAGCGGTGTGTGTGTATGCGTGTGCGATTGTGTTTGTTTAAACCACGGGATTTTTATGCCCAAATCGAATGGCGAAAATTTAGCACAGCGAGCAATAAAGGCCAATTTAACTAATTTAAAGTGTGCGAAATGTGGAAAAGTGCCTGCGAAGAGAGCGCTAAAAGAGATCGCAAAATTTAAACCAGAAGCGCATACACATACACCTACACTCGCGCACGTACACACAAACACACAGAATCAAATGTAAAAAAGCAAAGTAAAAGAAAAAACAGAAGCCAAAGCAAAAGACAGTGCCAAAAAAAAAGTATTTAATAATTTCAAGACAAAAATGAGAGAGAAAATGAAAAGAAGAAGCAGAACTGCGTGCGGGTGCGTGAGAGCGAGTGAGCTGGCGATATATCATCAGCTGTTTGACACTTGACACGATCGAAAGTAGCCTCCTCTCGCTCTTTTGCTCTCTTTCTCTCCCCCTTCTTTATCGTCTTCTTATTATTTTTATTGTTTAAATTCGAGTTTATGTGTGATTTTGTTTAGCTTATTTATTCAGTGGCTATAAGCTGCTTTCGGGCTCGAAAATGTGCCAGCAAAGCGCTGTAAGAACAGAAACACTGTGAGAAAACTATAAAATCTGAGAGCAGCAGTAATTTTACTTTATCAGAAAACTTTAAGAACCGGACTCTTGTTTTTAGCCTTTACCGAATTTTTCGCTAATCTGTGACGTTTTCTCTTCCGTTTCTCTTTGCAGCTTCTCAAAGTAAAGTAAATCGCGAGCATTAGCAATCTAGAGTGTTAAACCAAATGTTAGTCTAAGCCTAAAGTGTAAAACTAGTTTAAGACCCCCAAAACAAAGAAATCAAACCGCAAAATCGCAAACGTGTTAAGACCTTAACCTAAACGCGTCAAAGCCAAACGCCTTAATAAACAACAACTCCAGCAGCCAAGGATAACCAGCGAAGAGAAAGAGAGCTCCTGCGAGAAGCTCTCTTTGGCGCCGAAGGAGCAACAATTTCATCCGCACCGTTGCCCAGTAACTCGGCAAAATAGCTAAGTCCATTTTGCAGTTCCTTAAAAAGAAAAAGTCCCATCATAGTTCGACATCCGGCGAGGGCAAGCTACAAGCGCAGTCCAGTTGCGAGGAGGAGGGCGGAACGGCAGCGGGAGGAGCGGGAGCGGCAGCGGGACCCCCAACGGACCAGGCTAGCAGCAGCAGGAGTACGCCCCCCGCAGCCACGACCACGCCCTGTTCGGGGGCGGAATCAGGCGCCAACAGCGGAGGAGGAGGAGCAGTAGCAGGGGCCAGCAGCTCCGGCGAAGATCAGGCTCAGGTTTCGGCCAGCGCCACTTTCCGGCTGTCATCCCTAACGGGCACCATCTCCAAAATGGGCAACAACGCCACCACGTCAAACAAGAAGGTCGACGCCGCCGAGACGGTCAAGGAGTTCCTCGAACAGGCTAAGGAGGAGTTCGAGGACAAGTGGCGCCGCAATCCGACCAACACCGCCGCCCTCGATGACTTCGAACGGATCAAGACCCTGGGCACCGGGTCCTTTGGCCGCGTCATGATCGTTCAGCACAAGCCCACGAAAGACTACTACGCCATGAAGATCCTCGACAAGCAGAAGGTGGTCAAGCTGAAGCAGGTGGAGCATACGCTGAACGAGAAGCGCATCCTGCAGGCCATCCAGTTCCCCTTTCTCGTCTCGCTGCGCTACCACTTCAAGGACAACTCCAACCTGTACATGGTGCTGGAGTACGTCCCCGGTGGCGAGATGTTCTCGCATCTGCGCAAGGTGGGCCGCTTCTCGGAGCCGCACTCGCGCTTCTACGCGGCACAGATCGTGCTGGCCTTCGAGTATCTGCACTACCTGGACCTCATCTACCGCGATCTGAAGCCGGAGAACCTGCTGATCGACTCGCAGGGCTACCTCAAGGTGACGGACTTCGGATTTGCCAAGCGGGTCAAGGGTCGCACTTGGACGCTGTGCGGCACGCCCGAGTACCTGGCCCCGGAGATCATTCTGTCCAAGGGCTACAACAAGGCCGTCGACTGGTGGGCGCTGGGCGTGCTCGTCTACGAGATGGCCGCTGGCTATCCGCCGTTCTTTGCGGATCAGCCCATCCAGATCTACGAGAAGATCGTCTCCGGCAAAGTGCGCTTCCCGTCGCACTTTGGTTCCGATCTGAAGGACCTGCTGCGCAATCTGCTGCAGGTGGACCTGACCAAGCGCTACGGCAATCTGAAGGCGGGCGTCAATGATATTAAGAACCAGAAGTGGTTCGCCTCCACCGACTGGATTGCGATCTTCCAAAAGAAAATCGAGGCGCCGTTCATTCCGCGGTGTAAGGGTCCCGGCGACACGAGCAATTTCGATGACTACGAGGAGGAGGCGCTACGGATCTCCAGCACCGAGAAGTGTGCCAAGGAGTTTGCTGAATTCTAAAGAAGCTCTTCGCCAGTCAGCCCAAATCCCCTCGTTCTGCAGGCGTCTGCAACTGCAATTGTATCTGCTACTGCAATTGTATCTGCAACTGCTCCTGCTGTTGCCACCGCCGTGGCATCGCGGACCACGTCCTCATCGTCGTTGTCGTCGTCTTGTCTATATGTCTACTACTTACAACTACAACAACTGTAACAGCCACCCACAAAACAACAACTACTACCACATCTGCGTCTATCTGGACATCTGTATGTCTGCATCTACTCCACATCCACACTTTTGTCAACATTGGATTCCTCACCACACACAACAATTTACATCAACGTAAGTATTTGAGCCAATACAAATCAGTTGGGCGGGGGTCGTGCAATATTTGCCATTGGAAAACCCTTTGACTGGAGTGCTTCTGGCCAGATTCAATATTTATTTCCATTTTACGTTACCTCAATTGCGATGAAAAAAAGTAATTTCATATATTTCTCAATTTATCAAACAATTAATTTGAATAACTTAGCAAATTAAACAAAATAGTGGATTTTTTAGTTTTTAAATTTTCGTTTAAGATGCGAAGTTAGTTTTATAACTCATAGCAACAACATGACTGTATGTCATAACATTTTGAATTTATTATATTAAAATTTATATTTTAAATGAATATGCTAGATTTTTCCTTTATTCTTCAACTTTAGAATTGTATATTAAGAAAAACTACTATTGACATCCAAAGATATACAGGGAAAGCTTACATCCTTATTTATTATGCCATATATCAATCTGTAAACTCACACGAAAGGCTCTTTCTCACCATTTTGCTAAATGAGGTATTAATCTATTGACTGTATTCCGTACTCTCTTCGTTAACGATGCACTGGCGTTAGGGAAGGGTATTCAGGGCAAGGGTATTCCAGGTTTGTTTTTGTTTTGACTTTAGCTTGAGATTGATGGACGAGTAGATTGATTGATTGATTGCTTTCAGTGGAATGTATTTGCTTGTTTTTGAGGGAGCCGCAAAGGGAAAGCGAGAGAGTGCCAGAGAGTTGATTATGAGACAAAAGGGCATTTCAGCTCGTCCGTCAATTGTTCTGCCCGCGGTAGTAACTCGTACACGGAATTCTTTTAATTAGTTTCCCTCGGTGACTTGACTTATTGTTATAAGCGGATGTTTCCCTGTGGTTGCTGTCCCTACGTGATGTTTTACTAAAAAAAATTGAGCATGACCACTTACTTACTCACTACCAGACCACCAAGGGGTAAAATGACCGTAAACATCGAATCGTTAATTGCAATAAGCGTCAGAATGTGGTCGTAAACGATAACTGTAACAACTGGCCGTAATTCAGTCGGGTCTAATCTCTTCAACAGACAAACTAGACAGCTGATGGTAATAGTGCAAAACCAATTACTTTCAAAGAAATTCTTAGTGCTTAAAGTTAATTTATGTTCATTCGTAATAACTTTAAAACTTTTAGCTTAACCTAATTAAGTTTCGAAAATGTTCGCCTTTCATTAAGTGGTTAATTTAACTAAAAGTTTAAAGTGATAAAGTTTTGTTAATAAACCATTTAACTTTTCTGTGAGTTCTTAATCTTTTTTAACAATTTCTATTCTTGCTTTTCCCCATTTTATTTGGCTGCGACTCCCACAATTTCCACAGAAATATAGTAATTCACACTTGACCCATTTGAATAGCTAACAAGAAGGGAAGAGAAAGCCATGAATAATGTCAAGGCAAAAGGCAGTAAAAGAAATATATCTTTTATTTTATGAATTACTCCTATTGCGTGTCCGTTAGCCATTACCGAAATCGTGCTTTTTTTATCAACGCCAAAACGCTGCTTGTAATTAATAAATTATAATAAGTTTTATGTTCAAACAACAATAGCAAAACAAAAGCAAAAGCTGCGTGTGAATGCCGCATAAAGTTTAGAAATTGTGCAAATGTGAAAAACTAAAAACATAAACGCAATCAAGAGGGGCTGCAAATTCTGGGGAAAGTTTAGGTGGGTATGCAGCAACTATTCCAACTCATATCAAAGAAAAAATAAAGCCCTAATATTCACGCCAATGTGCGGTAATCGTTGGCCATGACCTTGTTCGACCTTTGGCCTAGCCCCAAAAGAGTTGTCCATCCGAATGTCAGTATGTGGATTGTCTTGGATATTTATGTTTCTCCTCCGATTCCCTTGAATTTCCATGCGACATGTGTCGTCTACAGTTTTATTGGCACCAATTATAATCATTTTGTTGTTTTTGCCGCTTGCCGCTTGAAGAAGGCCATCAATCATTTGTTTTGGGCCAAGTCAATTAGTCTCCGTAGTCATGGGTACTAAGTATCGGGCATTAGGTTTACTTATTTACATTAACTCGACGGCTTTTCTGATTGTTTATCAATGCGAATGAAGGATAGGAAAAAACGCTATCAAAAGTGAATCCAGCTGGAAGTGGGGTGATTTGGAGTCACGCCTTAGTAACTGATTTTTATTGATAAGCCAATTCAATTTTTACGCTAGCACACAGGAACTAGCTAAAGATTTTAGCCTTCACCGAAAAGATTTTTAAAGAAAAACCGTGAAAAAGGCCAACTTTTTTAATCCCTGCCCCCTTTTTCAATTATCTAAAATTAGATAATCTGAACTTTTTCTTCGAATTTCTAGTTGTTTTGTTTCTCGAAATTTAGTTAAAAACTTTGTTTTGATTCCGTGCTTCTCCAGAAAATACGATTAGTGAAAATGCAACAATCAAAATCATTTCTGGGGCATGTAAATAAATGATTCCTACCAAGCTTACATTGCTAACGGGGTTCGAGATTAATCATTTGATAGACTTGCAGTCTGAATACAAAAATGCAAAATTGTAATATGCTTTGTTGAGGTAAATTTTGTGGAGCATCTCATTGGGAAATGACTGGATTGTACTGTTAGCATTCTTGCTATTGGCATTTGGCTGATTTGGAGCACATTAAAGCCAAAGTTCAACTCCCAGCTGGGTGTCGCTCTACAAACTTGTTCTCAGCAGTCGCTGCACAAGCACGCAGATACCCAGCAACTTGGATTCAACACGCATTCGTCGTGCTCCAATAATCACCCAGACCAAGCCAAGTTTAGCAGTCAGCCAGTCGCGGTGGCTGAAACACAAAGAATGCAACTGCCAACGCGCTTGTGAATCTGAGACGTTGTCTGGCCAATTTCGGGCCAATAGGGGCTGGGTGGGGCGGGGCGGGCGTGGACTGGGGCGGTAGATCGCAGACAGCCAGAGACAAACCGACTAGGTCGGGCAGCCTTGTAACAGTGCCCTCAAATCGAGCTTGTCAGCACGCACGCGCTGCAAGTGCGGCCAAGTAAACGGCGATAAAAACAATAAGGCAGAGAAGATACCAAGACAATGGTCGTGCAGAAAAGAAAACAATTAAAACACCGAGGGAGGGAAAACCCGGACTTTTCCGAGTATTCAATAAGATAAATGGTTCTGGTTCCACCGGTGACCAATTCCATTTTCATTCCTTAAAGAGGGACACAGAAAAAAAATAGTCCAATGTTTCTCTTGCCCAATCTTAATTTATGGCAATGAGGGTTTTCAAGATTAAATGAATTCTTTAAATCTAATCTTGCCTAAAGATAAAAGTTATATTTATAAAAATTAATATAAAAGGTATATTTATATTTTTAAATTCCATTTTCTATAAACACAGTAATTATTTTTATTTTTTTTTTTCGTGTAAGCTGTTACACTTTGACTGAGTCAACGCGTCGTATGAGCAATATGCAAAAGAAGCACATGAAAAAAAAACGAAAAAGAAGGCAAAGCAAAGCTCAAATTATATTTTCGTTTTCGTACGCATTGAGAATAAATTAAACGATTTCTGCCTTTGCCTTAATTGTGTTTGTTGATTTTGTTAACTTTTTCGCTTCGTTTCGTTTCATTTCGTTTGGCTTGGATTTTCCGTTTCACATTTGCAAACGGGTTTCGGTTGTGTGCGTCTCAGTCTGCCTTTTGGGCCTCCATTTGCTGCCCCTCTGAAAATGTTAGGAGTGGCAGTCGCCGAATGCAGGCTATAAAAAACATTTAAATTGAGACAGCCACAGCGAGGCAAACTGGCAAAATCATTTAAATAACGCACACGTCGGCGGCAGCTTCGCCATGTTGTGCTCGTTTTAATTTTTTGTTTTTCTTTTTTTTTTCGCAACTTTTTCTTTCTGTTTCATTTGTGCAATTATTTTCTTCGTTTTTGCTTTCAAAATTGTAGCCGCTGTTTATTTATTTTCTCTACTCTTTCCCTAGTAGCTGCCGCGTTCTAGTAGAATGCGAGGGCAATTTGTTTTCGCTGTGAACGGGGACGATTGCGACCCCACAAAGTAGCTGTTCTCTATCAGGATCAGTGGATCATGCGATCTCGTTTGTCCACATCATACTTTTCCGACCCGGCAATTGTTTGTCTTCACTTTTATTGGTCTCGACTGCCGTCTGTTTGTTTTTCTAATCACTAATTGTTCTTAAAATATGTTTTATTTCTGGATGTGCATTCTAAATAAACGTTACGAGAATAGATTTACAGAAATTAAAATAAAACAAAGACCACTTTCGCTCTACAAAATGATTTATAAATATAGTTGTTTTGTTATTTGTTTAACAAAGAGCTAAAACTTTAAACGCTAATTGTTTATTAAAATATAGAAGTATAAGTTTTAAGTGAATTGTATACTACGTAATATGAATTTGCCTAAGGTTTTTTCTCTTATCAAATCTTTCCACTTGATTAGAGCGCATGTAATGGTCGAGGCAGTCGCTCGCTCTCAATGTTTTTTTCTAGTACTTTTGCAATGTGTATCTGTGAGATAAACGCGAACTTTTTCAACAATCCCCACCTCCCCAGTGCCTGCTATTCTGTCTGTCTGTCCCGCGCAGTAACCAGCAATTTTCATACAGAATTTACGAGCAAATAAAATAGAATTGAACATGGAAAACGCTGCACAATGAAAATTGAAAATTTCTGTTTCTGTTTTAGTTTTCGTTTTTGTTCCGTTGCCTGTTGTTTATTTATGGGCAGGTGCTATGTACACACATGCATTCGACGGAGAGGAATGACTTTATGAAACATTTTCGGTGCGACAGAAAAAACTTTAGAGTGAAATATATGTTGGTATATTTACATTTTTCACTTTTGTTTGCTATCGAATTTCTGCGAATTGAATTTCATTGATTCAATATAATCTAGGGTTATGTATGTATATACTGTTGACTTCCAAACACTTTCCGTTGATAACGAATTTAAAAATTGTGCAAAGCGAACGGGAGGCAAAACAAACCTACATCATCGAGTGAGCCCC